ATTTCCACTCACTCGCATTCGCATTCGCATTTCCAGTGGCATTCTCCTCCTTTCCCCTCTGCCGTTCGCCCCCTTTTCAGCCCCTTTTAGCCACTTCAACTGCGGTTTCATTAGCCGCGGTCTCTGTCAACTGTTGTTGTTCCTCCTCTTGTTGCCGCTGGTTGGCTTCCTCTAATTTCGTTAAGTTTCGTTGCCACAACAGAAAACCGAGTGTGTGCCACAATTTTTTCCCAGCCGCAGTTAATGCCTCCCCCCGGGAGCAACTTTTTCCAAGCCCTTGCACTTAGCCAAAAAGTGAGCTGGTACTGACCAGTCCAACTTCGGAAATGAACTCATCTCTAAGAAACCAAAATGTTTTATTATTTTTGGGAAAAATTGACAAGCTTGTATCCAACGCTTGTGTTATGACGTCTGGAAATATTTGGGTTGTAGGAAACAGTTTTTAAAAATATAATTCGAAAGCCATGGTTATTTCCCCAAGTGTGAATGGAGCCATCTCCCTCGCTCCCCGTTTTCCACATCCCCGTCTCGCTCTGCCGTCAAATGCAATTAACAAAACACGCTCCTAGCATAAAGTCATTAGTTATTCCATTTCATGAATATCCCTCTCTCGATTCGAACGCTTCGCTGGATATGTTTATGTGTGTGTGAGTCAGCTTGGAGCATATGGCGGGTGAGTGTGTGAGTAGTCGAGGGGGAGGGGGAGGGGGATGGTGACTTAAAGCCCCGGCCATTGACCAAAAACCAAGGTCCACAACAAATGTACATAACAATATTATTTTGGTGAATTTTCGCAAAACGGCCGAAAGCATCGATGGTGGCTGTGCTTGAACTAAAGAGCCACCCAATAGAGCACCACCCCACCCTGCCACCTTGCCACCCACTGGAGCAGCCAGCGGAACCCTGCAAGCATTTGAAGTCCTGGCTAAATTGCCATTCAGTGTTGTACACCGTCATTGGTGTTCGTTGTCCGGCGTCACGTTGTTTGCTTTCACCTCAAGCCAAGTTTGCGAATGTTTCCCGTACCCCCCATCGGAAACCCCATACCGTACCCTCCACCAGTCCACCAGTCCACCAGCCCCGCTCCGTAAACCCTTCAGCCGGAAAGCGTGTACGCCGGATAAACTTTTCGGCATGAGTTCTTATAGGCAAAAATGGTTTTTCAATACTCAAAGATTTATGAGTCTGTGAATCTTGTACACATCCACCAGCATGTGAGTGAGTTTTTCGGGGTGGTAACAGTGAGAAAAATGCTCAACTTTATATTCCAGTTATCAAAATATGAATTCTAATCTTAAATTTAACATAAGAATATTGACAAAGAAAGCAAGAACTTTCCCTCTTGATTTCCTATATAGATTGCAAAAACAATGAAGATTTGATAATCAAAAAATAGGGTTATTGTTTCTTCCTCTGTGTACGGTCATGAGATACTGAAGCTCGTACCCAGTTTACACCTCCTACCCCGCCCTGACCACTTTGCATAATCCTGGGAGAGGGATCTCGGCCAAAACCGAAACAGAACCACTGGAGCAGCAGAAGAGTCAGAAGAGGCCAAAAGCAAACACCACAAATTAGTCGGCATATAACACGGAACGGTAAATGGCTAAGAAGTGAGCTGGAGGATGGGGGAAGGGTGAAGGAATGGCTGGGAGAACAACAAATAGAAATCAAGTAAAATTCCTGGGCCACCTTGGCAAGCAAAGTTTTCCATTTCATTTTTCGAATTTTGCTCATCTCTTTTTTTGGATTCCCGGGCAAACTTGGGGCAGCTGCCACATGGAACATGAATCAACACAGAAAGTCCTCAAAAGTTCTCGGGGATGATTTAATTAGAATTCTCGAAGATGTCACCCAGGGCTATGCCCCCAGTTCGGTTTTGCTTGGTCTAAGCCGGCGTTGGGCAACGTTTAATTATGAAATTTTCAAGGCGGCAAGTTGGTAAGTTGGCAAGGTGACAGGGATAGGAAAAAGGGGGATCCCCACCTGGTATTTTGTGGTAGATTAGCCGGGCGTTCGATGTGTTGATGTGGCGGAGGCGTGGAATCCTGATTGGTGTCGGGTTTCGGGTGTCGGGTGTCGGATGCTGGCAACGATGTGATAAGTTAATTGAAATTAAATTTTAATTTCATGGGATAAAGTTGCCTTCGATGAGATGAGATTGCTTTTTGCTTGGGTCGAGGGTGAGGGCTTCCCCCTCCTCCTGAAATCAATATGGAAATGAAAACTTGGTGGGAGGGAGGGAGGTAGGCAGGTCGTGCGTCCAAAGACCAATCAAAAGAAATCCCCCCGGGTCTATTAACAGAATCATTTCATTTCCCTTTTAATGGCCAACTCACATGTCACGCTGCCTCTAAGAAAACTCATTTATACATTATGTATACGCCATGTTGAACACACAAGATTCAATCTACGTCGCAACGGAGTCCTTGAGGTCTGCTCGAGGATGTTAATTGGAGTCTTTCCTGCCACACAGAAACACCTTGGGTTTCCCAGGAAGCCAAACACTTGAACAATCGGAAATACGCCTCGGGGGCCCCCGAGCTCTACATCAGTTTTAATTATACAAATGCAAATGCAAACGAATCCGTCTGAACTTCCAGTTAAGTAAACAGAATGAGCTTACGATTTTCACCAAAAATCGATTCGCCCAATCATAACTACAAGTGAGCATGGTCATCCTGTCCGGCGGGCAATAATTTTAACAATTGGCCAACCACTCGAACTTAAATCCATCGGTTGTTGGTTAAACGGCCTACGGCACCCGTAGTCCTGGCCATTAACTATGCAAATAATGTGCGGGATATAGACAAAATCGCCACAAGATTAATGCTTATTGATTTTCCCGGCCAGTGATAATTTGTTACCACACCAAATTGGCTGTGGCTGAGGCTGAGGCTGAGAGTGGAGCGGCACTGAGTGAATGCGATTTTTCTGGCTTACTTTTCTATTTCTGGCCAAAGCCATTCTAAGAATTTGATAAGCCCCTTTTGGAATTTTCTCAAACCCCTCCCCCAAAAAGTTTTTGTGGGTATTTGCATTATTAAGTACTCGCACCGCTCCCTCGCTTTCCGATTTCTTGGTGGTAGGCTTGCTGGAAGATGGGAAATATAAAATGGGTGACGGGTCGGTCATCCATTGAGCCGAAGGTGTCACATTGCCGGGATTTGCTTATCAGACATCAAAGGACACCTTGCGGTACCATCTTTCCCGGAACGTTGCCATTGCAACCCGCAGGCAAGAAATTCTGGTACGCCGAAGGGACAAGGGAAAACTCCCTGCTAAGTTTCCCCATCCTCAGATTTTTGGCCCCTGTCTGGTATCTAACTTTCAGGTTTATATAAATATTTTCTTTGGCTTGTTTGTCTGGTTTCGTCTGTTTAGCATTTTGGAATATTAATTAAAGCAAACTTTCTGGGAATGTGAGCATTATTAAAAACAAAGCTTAGGTGCGCTGCTTCTCTTGCAACTTTTTTGCCACTTCGAATAACTTTTTGCATTTCTAAATGGTTCATAAAAAACATCCAAGGTGTGTTTTGTTATGGAAAAAATTTTACTGCATAAAAAAACAACCTCAGTATATGTGGAGGCGGGATTTTAATGTTTTAAAAGTTTAAAGCAATTTGCATTTTATCCAATTAGGAAGCCAATTAATAGGAAAAACTTCACAGATTATCCCTTAAATAAAATGTATGCTTTCATCTCTGAGTTTTGTTCATTTTCTATTCATTAGATATGTATTTGGAAAACATTTTCTCTAACAAGAAAAGGAAATTTTATAAATTCCTTAAGAATGCGCCTCGACACAGTTTTTATAGCATACTTATCAGAGCTATTGGAGCAAAATGTTGTCATGCTCCTTCGAGAACCCAATAACGCCGCAACGAAGATTAGAAACCCATAAAGCGAGGGATTATATAATCGATTGTGACATTAACATAGTGTAAATGATGGGGAAACCTTTATTTCGGCCCATCTTTTTTTCTATCTAATGGGGGCGAGTGTCGTCAACCGGAATTGAAAACAACTTAGGAAAAATTAATTTTGTTGAAATATTGATGAACGAAACGAGAGCAGGTGAATTCGGCGGAAGTCAGAATGAAAGAAAATGTATTAAGAAGGGTTCATAATTCGGGTGTTTCCAAGAAGTGTCTTTGTTTTGACAAAAAGGAATCCCTTAATGGGAGGATGGGAAGGCACCATTCCCTGGATTTGCTTATCACAACTTCAAAGGACACTTATTCCAGCAGGAAGTGGCTGACATCCAAGTAAACATACACAATTTGTCCACAATTCGCCCGATTGTTATTATCTTTATATACCCCAAATTAGCTAGAAGTGAAAACGAAACCGAGTCAGCAACAGAAACTGAAACTAAATAAGTATCGAGCGGCAATCTGTAACAAAGCGGGGCAACAAAAGCCATCGCTAAACGCAAAACACAGCAGACCCAATCCCAAAAACCCAACCAGACCGAAGTCAACCTACTTTTGGACGCAACAGACTACGACAGAGCCGAGCGAAACTGCCACACATATATACCATGTAGCTGCACGGGGAGAAAATGTAACAGATTGGTCTGAATATTTACTTAGCAATGGCTTTCTGGTAATAGGATTTTAATCAAGTATTTACCAATTGTGCCTAATAATACCAAACTATACCTTTTATGTTGATTTAATAACTGAAGTGAAAACAATAAGATATACTGAAGGAATTAAATGAGGTAAAAACTGTTAAAAAACTAACAAAACGAAAGGAATCTTGTAATATAATATTAAACTGATAATAAACGACGGCATATTAAGAGATTTTAACGAGTTTTTCTGCCTGTGCATATATTCATTCGGTATGCGCCCGGATGAGAAGCATGGAGTGGGTTTTTTTTGGGGAGACGGGGAGGACCGTGTGTTCGGGGGACAATTGGGCGCCCTGCGGCGGATTATTGAATTTTCCAGCATTCTCCGCTGACACTTGGCGCCTAATGCGCTACCGCTTACCTCTCGTGTTGTTGTTGCTGCTGCCGCTGCTGTTGCTCCTGTCCTTGTGGCTGCTGGCCCTGTTTAGTCCTGCGCCCCGCTCCTCTTGCTGGAGCGGCTGCTGTTTACCAATTCACTGGCGCTGGCGAAAATTCCAATAGAATTTGGCATAATTTACATATCTCCGAATTGCTTAGGCCAAACGGGCCAAATGCATTAGACACAAAATACAAGTGCGTGCCTGTGTGTACCCGATTTTCCGATGGTTGCCCGTATATTCCTCTTTTCACCGATTTTCCGTACTTTTTAGCGAGACCCAATTTCTGTGCCGTTAAGCGAAAAATCAAAAACGGCGCGCGTGTCGTACCGCTTGATATATCCAGTGATTTGATGGGAGTCGCGGACCCACGCACTTGCAACACGCGACACACGAGCACCGGGAATCGGGAATCGAGGGACTTGGGGGCTATAAAGTGGGGTTGTGGGGTGCACCGAGGGGTAGGGGATCCGTGACAGGCGACGGGTGACAGCAACTAAGATGAATGTCAATAAAAATGATTTTGCTCCTCACTGCAGTTGGGGTTTTTTATGTTTTCCCCCGAATTCTCTTTTTAGCTTTCTGTTTTTTCTCTTCGTTTTTTTTTTCGGTCTGTCCCGAGTTACTGTGATTTAATTATAAATCGCAGACGAAAGTCCTGGAGACAAGCGCCGGGAAGAGGTTTTCTCGCCACGCGAAGAATCCGTACTGAAGATACAGATACGGGCTGCGAATTGGCAAGTCAAAATTCGCCACAATTCATCTCGCAGCAGGGCTGCTGCGCAAAATCCGGGAGTCTGCGCCTGCGCCGCTCTCGCTCCGGACTTTCTCGGCTCTCTCCGCTTTCTCCCTTATAAATATGTCTGTGTGCCACGCTTGTTGGAATGCTATAAAAAAGGAAACGTTAGAATGAAATGAAAATGTAGCATAATTTATGACTGCATCGTCTTTTAAATAATTGCACGCGCACACATCTACGAACCTACACTCTGCCCTGCGTTTTAAATATTTACATCCACTCACCTGACGACCCCTCCCCGAACACAGCCCAACACCCCCTAATGGCCATGTAAATATGCAATTTTTTTTATTTTATACGACTTTTTAAAAAGTCTCCCAAATTGGTTAAAGGTCAATGGTATTTGGGCTTTTAAAAAATGGAAACGATACGGAAAGATTTACAGGGGAATTAGCTAAACAAATATTTGCACAAAATTTACAAATAATAGCCGAGTCTACCAAAGCTGAACAAATTATGACTTTCGGGTTTATTCAGCAATTTATTTTTGGACAGTCAGAAATCTTAAAATAAAATAATTGTTTAGACTACATTGTTCGGACACCTTTTCTGTATTCAATTAAATTAAAATACACTTTTAAATTATCGTTTACTCAAGCTTAAATTTGTATAAGTGAAATTGTAATCCTTGGTCTTAACTATTGCAAACATGAACCACTAATATTTGGCAAAGTTGTTGATGGGTTTTCCTTAACGCAAAGCCACTTCGTACTATTTGGCCAGAAATTGTTCATTGTTGGCCTGCTTAGATTAGCTGCTACTATTGCTTTAATGATTAAGGCCAATTTGGAATCAGTTCTAATGCCCTTAGAGAGGCGACTTGTTGTCATATGCATGTCTTATGACTGGGTAAATAAGAGACTGGATGGTTGTCATGCACTATTAGAGAATCGAGGTTGGCAAAAGAGAGTTGATGTCCCCGGATCAGAGCTCGACGTTGTTTAGATTAGACCCGGAGGAAGTGGGCAGATCGACATCGCTAGGTGGGACAAAAGTACCCTTGGTAAGGACACTCTCCTGCTTGGCGCACAGCTTGAGCATCTCAGATTTAAGTTTGTCCAGTATGGCATAGTTGGGTTGATTCACTGCCGCTTTACTCTGCAGCACGGTGATCTCCTGCTCTTCCAGCTTCTTCTCCTTGAAGGTCTTTATTGAATTGTTTCCATAGAGGCGCAACAAAGAACCCCAGGTCTGGATGTGTGGATGCAGAATCTGCCATATAAACAGAGTAGCAATGGTTGTAACAAGTTAAAGGAAGGACCTGTTCACTGTTTACCTGGAGGATCGCTTGCGAAGCCAATTGCTTTCCTTCTCGCTTGTTCTTACAAACCACTTTGGCAGTGTGTTTGCCCACGGTCATGGTAAACTCATTCTTGTTGTTCGCCGTGCGATTGATCTCCTGGTTGATCTGGACATCGCTGCCGTAGTTGCGTTGTAAGCAAGTCAACAGAATGGCATTGGGAGAGGGCTCTGTTGTCTTATTGCAGAATTCAGTGACTCGCGGGTCCTCTATGCGGATGTCATCGAAAACCTGCAAGAAATTGCGCCATTAAAAATAATTTTATTGTAATTAAATTAAATAATCTATATTCTATTGGTAATCTTGCTTACAGACAGATCACTCTGCGTTTTCTTGGCGATGCCGCTCTTTAGGTCCTTATTGTTGCCCGTTATCTTGTCCTTGACGTCGGGAATGAGTATTTCCAGCGTCTCCCGCGCTGCCTCCGACTTGGCCTGCTTTTTACTGGTGCCATAACCAGTTCCATACTTGAGATTGTTCACGGATACGGTAGCCGAGTAGGGCGTAGCTGCGTTTTGGAGCTCTTTAAATTCATAAGTGGGCTGCGTTTTTAGAGCATGTTGCACATACTCATGCAGGATGCAGACAAAACTCTTGCCATTAGGGTTCATAATCCACTCCTTTCGACCGCGCGTATTGTTTGAGCCTTCACCAGCCGCCGCTAGGATAGGGAACTTAATGAGTTTGGTGCCATCAGGCAGTGTAGGCCGTTGGATGTTCTTTATGTGCTTGCGGTTTTTAGTGAACTTGCGCCGAGCATTCCAACTCCTGAAACGCAGCACACGGATTACCTTGAACTTGAACAGTTTCTGGCAATAGGTGTTCAGCTGCTCAGGCGTTATCGACTCCTTCTGGGTATTCTCGTTAACCGTCACAATTTTGGCAGCAGGCATTAAGGCAGTCAATCCCTCTGGTTGGGATTTGGGATCAGAGCTACCTGCGTTGTTCTCTTTTCCCTCACAGTCCATGGGTTCTACCGGTGGAGCTGCAGCTCCTGTTACGGGACACACAGCCGCTGGAGCATCCTTTTTCTGCTGTTCGGCCTCTGACTCCTCCTCCAAAGCCCGCCTGTAGTTAAGACAGGGAACTGCTCCCAGGGGCACTGCATGCTTGCGGGCACTTCCAGTGCCCAGAAAGTAGGGTCTCGAGGCACAGCACACCCGGGTTTTGCGGTGCAAGAAGAGCGGCATACCGCTGTTGTGAGTCACCTGCACCCAGCCCTCGGGCAGGACCTCAAAGTGGTTTAAGCGCTTCTCTAAGGAAACATATTGAAGAATTGATTATCTCGGATCCCTGGCTAAGTAAATGCCACTCACCTTCTAGCACGGTCTTGAAACGCTGCTCGTACTTGGGCTGTTTGGACTCGCGCAGTTCGTCGGGCAGCTTTTCGTCGAGTAGATTCTCGATCTCCTCGTCGTCAAATTCAGAGGAATCGTATTCATCACCTTCGCCATCTGCCGCCTCCTCCTCGTCTTCGCCTCCTTCACCGTACCTGTCACCCTGCTGCTCGCTGGCGTCGTCTGGTTGTCATGTAAAGAGATACAAGCACTTTTTAGATAAGCGGTTTGTCTGGGAAATTTGAAACCGGCCGTGAAGTTGATCCACCACCACGCCACAGATGATTTAAAGCTTTACGGTGCTGTTTCAAAACATTTCAAATTTATCCACTTTGAACGCTTGCCATCTAGTTCTTTTAAATTTAATCATCTTGGGCTTTTTTAATGCGGGCTATACCTGATTTTGCTGGACAAGCCAGCCGGATTATAGGTATCATGCGCATGTAGACGCCCACCAAATTTGGCCACCACCTGCCTTAAGAAAATCTCAGGGAAAACTGAATACTGAAGCTGGTATTTCATGAGTTTACTTGACGGCTGCCTCTTTTATCAGCCTCTCTTATTTACACAAAGATAAATCGCGATATCTTGAGATAAGAGCTCGGCTGTTCACCGGGAAAATGCATAATAGGAAAATAATATCACCCTGGATCTGTGGTAATAGTTAACCGTATTTAATCCATCATATTTTTATCTAAGAGTAATTCTCCACTAACCTGACTCGTCATCCTCATCAGTGCCAGAACCTACTTCGTCGAGAACTTGGAACTGTCGAAGCTGCTGGTCCATGGGTTCGTTCTGGAGCTCGTTGTCACGAGTCTGCCGCATTTCCTCGATGGCACTTAGCGAAAATCCGGCTACCTTTAGCTCCTGCTCTTCGTCCTCCAGCCGAGGTCTCTTGCGATCTTGTCCAGTCTCCGGACAATCGGTCCTCTGCCTGTCCGCCATTGTTGACTTTGTCTAAATCGAGGGGAGTTTTAACTCGGACTGAACGAAACTGCTTAGAAATGCTGTCTCGGGGCCAATCTCGCCAATAACCAATACTGAGAGCATCCAACGCCTTGCAATTGATTTCTCATTGGAAGTGCCACATTGGTTAAGCCAGAAGCCCCGGCCGGAAAATTCTGCACTTTCGCGATTTGTAACGTTGCTACTTGCTGCGTCTTTCGCGATGGATTTTGGCTGGTTAGTTGGTCAAAATCCCAAAGCAAAAGCTGCGCAATTCTATAACAAATGTATGTTCTTAAGGACTGAAATGCATTTATGCGAAGTAAAAAACAAACAAAACAAACACCACATGCAGCTGTGGAACTTGGGAGAACAGGCGCCACATATAAGCACTTTTTGAAATGGAATTTGATTGTTGTTCTGGGTATTATCTTCCGGTGCAGTTCTGTCTTAATATCTATATTTATTGCAGCTTTAAGCACTTCTATTATTTTTCTTGCAAAAAACTTGCAATTTAAGCACGGGACGCCTGTAAATCAGTGTTACCAGATGGTCATATCGCAATTTTTACCAAAATAGTATTACCAAATACAGAACAAATCCCTTAAGAAGAGGAAACCGATAGGAGCAATAGGGTCACACTGCACGGATCAAAGAAAGACTTCCAATACTAGATATGAATATCGATATGTGAGAAGCTGCTGACAGTACTAGCTACAAAATGTAAATGTTGCCTACTTTTTGGTGTTGGTATGATTTTAAATATATTATTGCTTATTATGCTAGGACTGCGGGCTTTCAATAAAAATATAGCTTCATTTAATTTACATAATAGTTAATATATAAAATGCACACTTAACAAGTAAAGTCAGCAACGGTAGTTGCATTTACACAGCCCTGTATTTCGATTTCTGCAAAGAACAATAAAAATATTGACATTAAAAAAGCTAGTTGACCAAAAAACTGAACATATTACATTAAGATGTGATGTGGTATATGGTTTAATTAAGTACCACCCTCCATCACCGTTTCCACGTCTAGTTCGAGAGCATTTTCCTCCGATTCCTGACTGCTCGCTGCGTGGACGTGGCCTTTGGATCGGTAGTGGGCTACCAAATGGGAACGTCGCACAAAGGACACTTTGCACGAGGCGCAGCTAAAATAGAATAGTATATTAGTTATCCGTTAGAAAATCTGGAAATATAGGGATCTTACTGGAACGCTCGCACCCCTGTATGGGATAGCATGTGTGTACTCAGTTTACCGCTCATGGTGAAACTTTTACCACATTCTTTGCACTTGAATGGTTTATCATTCGTATGGCGACTGAAATAGTATAATAATATGAGTGAAAATTTATAAACCTAAACCTTATGCGAACTAACATGCGCTCGTGCTGAATTCGTACGCTGGGGTTGTTGAACGATGCCTCGCAGTATCTGCACTGATATGGAGAAACACCAGAGTGTAGATCCTGGTGGCGTCTTAGCAGAGTGGCGGTGTAGAACCTCTGAGGACATTGGTCACAGGCGAAGCTCTTTACGCCGGTGTGGCGCAGCAGGTGTAGCTTAAAGTTGCTGGGGCAAGAAAAGTGCCTGCCGCACTGTTCACAGATACACTCTCTTCTGCGTCGCTCTCGTTTCAGGGCAACCACCTCGTCCTCACTTAATCTGTCCCATTGGGTGCGCGGTTTGAAACGATTAGTGTCCTGGCTGTTGTCTGCAAACTTGACGGAAGTGCTGACAGAGGGCGTAGACTTGTGCGAGTTTTGCCGGGGCACCTTCTGCACGGAACTCTTTTCCTCAGATTGATCCTTGACGTGCTCAATTTCTTTGGGTAACTCCTCCTCCTCAAGCGGCGGATCCACCAATAGCACGTCTAAAACCTTGATCTCTTCAAAGAACTGCGGCTCATCAGGCTGGAGAACTTCGCACGGTTCATTCAAATCCAGAACCTGCGAATTGCTAGAATTGTTTTGAAGCGTTTTCTGGGTGAGAATTATACGCTCCCGGAAGCTAATCGCCTCTTTCAGAAACATTTCGCAGGGTGCGCACATAAAGGAGGGAAGCTGATCCTCCGGTCCCTCCAGCAACTATTAATAAATGTGATTACATTAATACAATTATAATTATATTCTAAATCAAAAAAAGGGAATCCCACTCACAAACAAACCCGTTAAAGCCTCGATCTGGTGCAGCGTTACAGAATCGGGCTCTCGGAAGAGATTCTTAGGCGTCAAACTGAAGATAAACTTGCCGCACGTGCGGCAATGACGAGACGCCATTTCTTTAACAAATTAGTTTACTTTATTATTAAATAAAAATAGGAGCTAAATTTTGGTTTGCATGATACTCGGCACGTTGCCAGACTATTCAATGCATAAAGGGTATTCTTACTTTGAAATAATAAAACAGACATAAACAATATTATAATAGTTTTATAATCAATTTTTTAATTTTTATATCGTATAAATATGGTTGACAGATGCTTTTATAGATATAAAATAATTCTGTTACTAATAGATAAATAAATAACAATATTAAAACCATAAATACATATAAATATATGTAAATGTTTTTCTGCAGTGTAAAAATACTAAATCACGCTCATTGAAGGGAACTAAGATTTCCCTATCAGGAATCAGCTGATTGGTGTAAACAAATCCCACGGATAACAAATATTGTTAAAGTGTCGCAAATTTTTTTTTCTCCATAATTATTTTTTAAGGAAAATGCGGTTAAATGAACAGATCAAAATTCTCGGTCGCAAGATCATCCTAGTGCCCTACGAAGCCCGCCATGTGAAGAAATACCACGAGTGGATGAGCAACGATACTCTGAGGCAGTTGACCGCTTCGGAAGAACTGACATTGGACGAGGAGTACGAGATGCAAATGAATTGGCGCAAGGATGACGATAAACTCACTTTTATTGTGTTGGATGCGGAGATCTATAACCGTGGAAAGGATGAAATAGCCGCCATGGTAGGGGACACCAACATCTTCCTGCACAGAGATCCAGATATTGATCAACAGGTCGCGGAAGCTGAAATCATGATTGCGGAACCTGATGCGAGGGGCAAGGGTTTTGGACGAGAAGCCATGCTCCTAATGCTCAAGTACGCCCAGTCGCATCTCAAACTTGATAAATTCCAAGTCAAGATCGATATGGATAACGCTACATCCCTGCATTTGTTCGAGAGCTTTAGATTTGTGGAGACGAATCGAGTAGAGGTGTTTCACGAGGTCACCCTAGAACGCCTTATCACTCCCGATTGGATCAGCTGGCTGGACCAGCAGGTGGAATTACGAATCAAAAGATATGAAAGGAACGATTTCCAACCTTGATAAACTTACTTTGGAAACCATCCAAAATAAAATCAATAACCCTTTAAAAATCATTACTTTATGGTCTGTTTATTACACTTAAGTTACAACTACTTGTTTTGCTTGCCTTATTTATGTTGCATTTTACATCAAATGTATGTATTTATGGGTGCATCGATGGTTTTTTGTTTCGCCTTATGGCTTGGATGATTGTAATGCTGTGTATGCTTCTTGTCGTGATTTTCGTGGCAGGAATAGGGCAACAAACACTTGCCTCTGTTACCTCTGGTGTTGCGTGTGTGCATATTTAAGAATAGTACATAAAACTAGATGCTTAGTGCTTTACAGCTGCATACTTAAAACTGCTAAATTGTTTAAATTTTTTATAAAAATCATTATTAAATAATCAAAGGCAAACATAATCGTATTCAGAAGATGCAAATGAAAACCGAAAATCCGTCAATAGCTGTCGGATATTTGCTGATATAACTGTGTTCTTAACGTAGACTTGGGCCGATAATAAATACGGATTAGGCAGAGGCATCGATGGGCATGGCATGGAGCACCTCGTCCAGCAGCTGGAGAGCGCGATGCAGATGGACCTCGATCCAGCAGGGAGTCTCCTTGATAGACTGCCGTGGGTAGTCGGGTCCCCAGCCTTTGACGAAGCTCAGTCGCAGGATGCAGAGCCGACGCAGATCATCCACTCCAATTCCAGCCGCAGCTGTCATGCCTGCCAAACCGCAAATCAAGGGATTAGAAGACTTTATAAGAATATTGGCAAAGCTTAACTCACTTCTTCCGCCGCCGCCCATTTGCTGATTGGCCACTCCGGCCACTGCTGCTGCTTGAGCTGCAGCCGCTGCTTGTGCATTGGTGGCCAGCGAGTGCATCTGCTGATGGCACTGACGCAGATCAAACACCTGTTTGACAAATTAACTGTTAATATAAATTTTAGTAAAATCATTTTGAACTCTCACCTTGATGCACGCCGCCGGGTAAATCTTGTGCACTGCATCGCCAGGCGTGCGACCGGCCTCGCGATCCAGATAATAGCTTTGTACGAAGACTGAATTGTCACTTAGGCAGCGCAGCCAGACGTCGCCCTCACCACGCAGGTCCAACTGCACGCCTTTGCCGATGTGGAGCCTGCCGGGAGACATCAAATCAATTCCTGAGCCTTTAATTACTCCAAAAGGGATTTACTCACCTGGCACGTTCTGATTGCTCTGTGCGATGAACATTGCTTAGGGCGCCCAGACAAAATCGGTTACCTCCCGAGGGATCCACATAACCATCGATAATTACATTCGGTTTCGCCGAGGGTACCTTAAAGGTCTCGCCCACCTGCGTATCGAGTTCAAAGTAGGCTATAGAGCACCAGTATTCCGGCGGTGGTTGGCGAGACAGTAGTCGTGGCTGTTGCTGTTGTTGTTGCTGCTGAGGAGGCGTCTGTTGCGGAGATGCTAAGTCACCTGGCAGCGACGAATTCCCTGCATATGAGGACAAAAATTTAAAGAAGGCACACGTAGGGTATATTCATTAGACTTACAGAAGCCACCTGGTAGAGACCGCGGATCGGGTGGTTGCATGGACTGTGTGTAGGTGAGGGTGTTGGGTCCTGTCCAAGTGCCAGTTGAGCCGCCTGCTCCGCCAGCTTGAGCCCCCGCAGATCCAGCATTGGCTTGCACCCCTGTCGGCGGCTGCTGTGGTTGCTGCGCTGTGGGTTGAGTTGAACCAAAAACACTGCCTCCACCTACAGCAGCTGGACCCGCTGATCCTGGCTGTGATACATAACCATTTTGTTGGGCGTGTACGGGCGGGGGAACCGAAGAGCCACTGCCTCCAGCGTTTTGCATTTGATTTCCAGGTGGTGGCTGTACGTAGTACTGTCCTCCAGTTGCTGCCCCACCGCTGGCATTGACCACCCCATTGGGAACGCCTCCTGACTGCTGTTGTTGTTGTTGCTGCTGTTGCATAGCCAAGGCGGAGGCGGGATCTGTGGGCGAATTTGCCTGCGTATGATGCACCCCGTTGCCTTGGGGATTCTGAGCTTGTTGGGGTGGAGGTGGGGGCGCCATCACAGGACCAGGATTCATGGGGCCAGGCATTCCCGGCATTCCATGAGGTACAGCTGGAAGTGAAGTGAAAGTAAAAATTAAAGAGCGATGAATGAGCTATAAAGCCAAATTTAAAATAAGACACTAAAAATTAATGTAAAAAACCAGAAATAAATGAAAGTAATAAGTTTCTCCATAATGCATCGTAGTCGAGTTCAGAAAATTTCAATTAGGTTCTAATCAAAATTCTTACAAAGTGGATGAGCAGCTGCCTGGGATGGCTGCTGCTGCTGGGGGGGCTGTGGGGGTTGTTGCTGCTGCTGCGGCTGTTGCTGCGGGGGCTGACCGAGCCGCGGAGGCGGTGGCACCATCCAAGAGCTACGCGACCCAGCAACACCGTCCTGTGGCTCGATTTTTGGTATTGTGCGCCCGCTTGGAAACATTGCACTCATGGGATTGGCTTCGCCAACTACATTAAGTCAACAGAAAATCACCAGAAGAGAAGCAAAGAAAATAAATATTAAAAGTGGAAAACAAAATAAAACAATGAAAGTTAAATTAAATGCTGCAACTTAGTTCGAAATTATATTCCAAAAATATGAAAAATATATAACAATAACATTAATGAAATCTGTGCAAGATTTTATAGGTAGTGACTTAGAAATCTCATCAAATTAATTTGTTTGAAAGGGATTTTTGACTCATATCGTATTCTAATACGTTAATTAAGAACTGTAATCATACCATATTCGGAGGGCCCCTGTGGATATCCGTAGCCGCCGGGACCCACCATTTGCGTGGGATGGTGTTGTATGGTACCGATGTCGTTGCCATCTATGTCCATGCTGCCCACTAACGGACCCGCTGAGTATTCGTCCTTCACCAAACGACTGGGCCCGGACTGCAGGCTCAAGCCAGATAGATCGATGCCCGGGGAGACAACGCGCTCGTAGTGGTAAGGATTCACGCACACCGAGTCACATTTGAGATCGAAGGCGAAGGCGCAGTACTTAACGTGTTTTAGCTCGTTCTTGTGGAGGTCAGGCCAGCGCCAAATTCGGGCGTAGATAACGTGGGGAAAGCCCTTCCTTCCGGCTACCTGTTGATTTAAAAGTGGAAAAGAATAGAAGGACGTGTTATTTAAAATTTCATTGTTTTCCAAGGGGTTATATATGTCACCTGCAGTCGCCCGTCAAGGGTCCGCTGGATGGTCACGCACTTGCTGGGATGGGCTCCATTAGTGGTGATGGCTGTGATCAAGGAGTCCAGTTCATCACGCTTCTCCTTGAGTTTTTTGACCAGCGATTCAATGGCCCGCTTGGCGAATCCCTCGCTCTCGCCGCCCTGCCGGTGACACATTAGCGAGTGGACGATGCTTAGACAGGCATCCGCCGATGTGGGTGCGTTTGAAGGCGGCGGCGGTGGCATTTGCACCATGTCCCGAACAATTACTGCGGATAAAGAGAGTAATTAGTCGGAGTTAGAAATATATATTAATTTTTGTGTGCATTATTGAATGTGTGTATAACTTTCTTTCTGTGTTTTTAATCCAATAAGAATTTGTTCCGTTTAATTTTTATACATATAATTAATCAAATATCTATGGCAGTTTTATTCTTTTAATTTTAGCATATTTTAATCAAACATTATAGATTTCTATATATGTTAATGGCACATTTCGTAAAACTTTGTGTTTAAAATTACTATGCAGTGATAAGTTTAATAATTATGTTATATATGTGGCATCGCACACAAGTGATCTCCACTGTATTTAGAATCTACCACCGAAAGAAAGGTGTCTTTGTGGTGCCCTATGCGTTCCATTAAAAGAAAATCTCACTTACTATCTTGCGGGGCTACGGCGCCGTACATGTGGGCAGGCGGGCCCGCCCCCGGGCCGCCGCCCATGCCAAAGTCCTGAGACAAATTCATTCAAAGTACGAGCGTGGACATCCACGACGGCGTTGTTTCTGGATCTGGATCCGGGACTAGGATCAGGACCAAGTGTATAAACCGGATGAAAGAGTGTAACACTAGTGTAAACGTAATCGAAGCCGGCGGATGCAAACAATACGGAAAATCATAGACCAAAGGAAAACCAAACAAAGGCGGCACGCGAATGTGAACACAAAACAAACGGCGGTTGGCTGGCTATGTGTGCGTGGGCTTGGGGGGTGTTGCACACACACATAAGCACTTGAACTCCCACAAAGTTGGCGTAATTTCCCTGCGAAAAACTCTCCTCCTCGGTATCCTCCTCCTCCTTCTTCACGTACACAAGCACACGCACTGCACACACAGAGAAAAGTTTCCTTTTCTAATCCTTGCTAAAGGCCTCTGTTTAATGTTTTTTTCAATTAATTCCAAGCTTTGCATAGTTTGAGAAACTTAAAAGTAGAATTTTCCGCCGGACGCAATCCAGTTTTCCACCCAATCTGCCTTTTTTCCTCCTTTATTTTGTTGCGGCTGTGTAAAGTGACCGTTTCGAAAATACGCTAAACTCGGCGTTGCCAGATCACAAAATGCCTTGAAAACGTAACCAGGATTTTTCCGAACCTGAGATTTGGTCAGTTCTCGAAAATTTAATTTGAGAATAAGTTTATATTTTTTGGAAAAAGGAGCAAAGACAATCAGATACTGACTAAAACGCAGAGGCATCCGGGTAAGTGCCTTCATATTTTCTATAACGAAACTACATTCATTTGCGGGCTTTTCTTTGCGTAAAACGAACTTTTTAAAAGGCTAAAAATCAATCGCCACGCGTTTTTTCTATATGTGTGTGTGTGAGTATGTGACGAAATTGAGGAAAGTTTCTTACATTCTTACATTATGAATGTGAGTTACATAGGTGAAAATCAATGGGGAAGTAATTCGGGCAACAAGTTAAAATCTAGTGTTCTGTTTCAGGCAAGTGCAAGCCTGTAGTTCCAATAGTAAATATTCATTCATTCAAAGATTTCGTCCGGGTGTGTGACAGGTTGTTTCTAGAAGTGCTTTTTTGTGTGCGTGTGAAGGGGCCCTGAAATAGACCACCCCCTTCTCTTTCCCCAGCCGCCCCTACAAATAATGTCACTTGGCAACAGTAACGAATTTCCCTTTCGAAGGAAAATGATTTTTCACGGTTACTTTCAAAACTCGCCGGAATCAACTTGCTGCGTAGTTTCTATGCTCAAAGAGCCTTATCAAAACTACGTCTTCGAACTAATCTCATTGGCATTTCAGTTTCGGGAGAGTAAATAAATATTCCCAAGGTTTTTTGGCATTGGCATTGATTGTGAAATGTGCAGGATGATTCTGATTTCTAACCAAAGACAATACTGAATAAATGTAACATTTTATTAACTTTCAATGGTTAAGACAAACAATTTCTATACAATTTAGTAAATTTCTTTCTGCCTTTAAAACGGAACCGTTTAAATATTTAAGGGTTTAAGCTAATGTATTAATTTTGTAGAAACGGAAGTAAATTATATTGCGTTGTGCATTCTAGGCAGGTGTATTTAAAATTTAATAACATTGAGAGTATAAACAGAAGGAAATCACTGAATTTCTTAAAAACCTTCCATCGTCTCTAAAAAAATTTACTCAGTATTTATTACTAATTATAAAAGGGAAAATATGTTTTAAGGGTAAAAATATGAACAGTTTTAAAGTTCACTTTTAAAATTGATTTTAATTTTTTTTTTTCTAAAATTTCCAAAACGGAATTATGAGCATTTTTGAGCATGAAGGATTTTTTAGTGGGAAATTATGGTCCGGGTATTTTTGACATCTGGTTACACTATTTGAGGTATTTCTACATCTGGTAGCACTAACAGATCTAGAAATCGTCATTCGAAAAAAAACAACAAAGCCGAGAAGTACCGTTTTAGCAAGCGCGAGTGTTTGGATGTGTTTGTTTGACTAGAAATAGAAAATAGAAATTCGTAAGGACCAATTTCAAAAGACAATGCTTTTCGAATGTACAAAGCTTTGCTAAAGCGTGATTAAATATATAAAGGAAAACTAGCTACGATGCACAGCTGATGGAAAAAAGTCCCAAGCACTTTTAGCCTGGTGTGTGTGGGAAAAATCGATCCACAAACGAAAAAACAGGAGAAAATGCCAGTCTAATAAACAGAGTTCCAATTGTGATACAAACGCAGTACAAATTAGTTAACAACTAGCTTAAATGGCAAACGACAAGGTTTTATAGCGAACTATCTGACGCAATAATAAATAAGCAAAAAGCTGCCAGCCAATTTATTCACTTATTTTCGAGTGCAATAGAAGCCAAAATTCTCAACTGAACAAAATTCATCTCAACATTCCTGCGCAACATAAAAACATCAAAATGGCTGTAATAACGTAAGCAAAACGTATTATTTTATTTAAATATCGGTAAATTGCAAAAAGAAAATCAAGAATATTAAGGTTTTAACTTTTATTCGTCATCCATCAGATGATTTTGTTTGTGAAAAAGAGAATAATATATTGAGGCATACATACAAAATTCGTTCATTTACGTGTTTGTTCCGTTTCCACTTTGTTTCACAGCTGTTTGGTTGGTGCTTGGGTGTGTGAGCGGGAGAGTGGTTTTTGGGGTCCGCTATTCATAGGTCGTTGCTTAGAGAGCAAGCGAGACGGATTTATGAGGGGAGGACGGGGAACTATGTTGCTTACTGTAGTTTGTGTGTATGTGGGGCTGTGCTTTTTATGCAAGCTGTACAACATATCTTTGTATGTGTGTATATGTAAGCCTTTGTTTAACTACTTGTTTTTTACAGCCCTTTTTCGCCTGAAAAAATGTTCCTATTTCCTCCCCCTATTTGCATATCTGTACTATTTCCAATCTACGTCAATTGTTTTACTTCACATTTCCCCCTTCTTTGTTGTTCTCCCCACAATCGTTGCGTTTCACTTCCAAAGTTCCCTACAAGTACACACAGACGCGAGCAGCAAACAAAGACTTTTGTATGTGTGCTGCGTTCCCATTTGGATTTTTGCCTCACGCACACCAGCAACCGGATTACTTTGCCAGTATGTGTGCGCGGGCTTGAAATTGCGTCAGCCCAAAAATAAAATATGTTCGACGAATAAAAACTACTTATTTTTGTTTCTGAAACACTTTTGCTCAAATTAAGAAGCAACTTGTTTTTGAAACACACAATTAACAACTGTTATTGCATTCCGTCTTGTACGACGTTTCTCCTGATTTCACCTTCAGCGCTTTTATTTTGTTTTCTGGGTCATATTTGTTGATTTCAATTTGTTGCGCAGTCGCAAACTCGAACAGAATTGCTTAATTTGTTGATTTTCATATTTTCCATAGCCTCCAAAATAAAATAAATACATCGCATAAAACGACCCCCACGCACGCATACTAATGAAATAGTTTGATAGGTGTGGGTGTGTGGGTGTTGTTGCTGTACCGTTGTTTTATTTATTCCTCCTCACACTTGTTTACATGTAAAAGGTCTCTTTTTCTATTCTTTACCCACCTTCTATGTGGAATGAAAGAGAAAAAAACGGGGAGAATATACCCTTAACCCTTAGGTGGTCAATGTCCATAAAATGGGGTCACTTTTTAATGATTATTAATAAAATTAGATAATAATAAAGCAATGATTTCTTTAAAAACCTTAAATCAAAACAAAATTTAAGCCAATTATTCATTGGCAAGTTAGACCCCTTTTTACCAGAAGTTGTCTGCTTTCTACCTGCTTTCTTGGATTTCAGTCTCCCATGAAATTCGTGTGTCTGCAAAAACGGCGACAGACCAAAGTGAAATTCAATGCCGAAACTCACTTAAACGACAGCTGACCATCCCAAAAAAGCCAAATACCATGATTTCATTTCAGGAGATTCAAAGCCCAGAAAAAGCACTCAACTGAACGGTTTTTAACCCATTCCCAAAATAATCCCCCTATTTTCAGCTCGTGCCAGGCTACTTTCAAGTCCCAAGTCCCACCCTTTTCTAATTCAATTTTATGAAAGGTGACGAAATAATTTCAGTATTCCCGACTGCAGCTGTCTTTCTCGGTCTCTCGTTGTTTTTCGCACTGCAGCAGTGTTGCCGTCAGCTCGTTACAGAAAAAGGCTAGATTGATTATAAAAAAAGGATAGAAAAGGACAAAAATTTACAAAAAAAGGACAAAAAACAAGACAAAATATTTTTTCCATACATTTTATGTAATATCACTCTTTATTGGTTGCCAAATCGTTTAGAACATCGTCAATGTCATCATTGCAAACTTCTAAACTTTGATTTATTGTAGATTGGTTGCTTCCAATCATTTTTAAATATTTCTCAGGAATTTCATATTCATGGCAAAAAATATATTAACTGAAAATTCATTTACTATATAACATAATATCTATATACTCTTCGACAAACACATTTTACATTTTAGTATATAATTAGTATAAAAAACGAAGACATTGTTTGATAATCTGTAATTAATCTATTAAAAATTTGCTGAGGTGGCCAACTGGATTTGTGGCAGCATGCTGTGCAACAAACATAGCCAGTGCCGCTTCTTGTCTACACAATGCATTTGTTGCTATCGGCTTAAAATTAATTTTATTTGCCTGGGCTGTGCATTTTGTATGTGCTTTTTCGTCACCATATGTACACGGATCTGGTCAATTTTCGGGCCAGGTCAAAATATAAAAAGGACAGATAAAAGGCTAGGGGATGTTTTAAATTTTTTCCGGCTGACGCAGTTAAAAACCGGACAGATCTGTCCGGAAAAAGGATAAAACGGCAACACTGCACTGCAGCTGCTTTTGCTCTGGAGGCATTTCTATGGGTTTTGTGACAATGGCGATAAGATCGAATCGCTTTATCGAACCTCGGTACTTACGTCATGGAATGTTACGAAATGTCCGCAACTCCTCTGATAAGCGAATCCCCAGGTCCATAAGTTATAATTGGGATTGCAATGCATCAGGTAGTTATCTAAATGTCAGTCCGGAACCTTGGATATAATACGGCGAGTATGTGGAATACAGCTGTAATTGAGCCAGTGCGATAACCAAGGGCTAGCAATTACGCTGATAAATACAAAGGGTCTCTATGTCGGGGGAATTCTCTGCAATTACGCGTGGAGAAATCCCTGTGGAGGAGGAACTTTGTGATTCACGGAGGCCCATGGAAAACTTTGTTCTACTGAAGCAATTATGTTGTGTAGTTCTTATAGGTGGAATTTTCTAATGATATAGGATTTCAGAGAAAATCAGTGTTACTACTTGAAGCATTGCTGTTTTCCAACCTTTCGATAAAATGAATCACCTTATAATAGTATAAACCAAATTTTTGTGATAGTAAATCACTAAACTATTTCCTTCCTTCTCAACCATTATTTACCTTTCCTAAAGTTTGAAATTAGCTACCGCTGAGTCTCCGTCCCTTTGCTATTTTGGGACTTTGAACTACGACTGATTTCCCTGCGATTAGCTCTTGCTTATCGTTCCATTTGGGCACGCTCCTCAGACGCTCACCCGTCGTCCCAGTGACTCCGGCTGTTGGTCACGTTCACTTTACGTCAGGGAAATTCTTATACTGCATTTCCGTTGATAATGAAAAGTCCGAGGGGGCTTGAGTGCGCTGCAATTTGGTAATGCGTCGAGTCACACGATCGGCAGATAATGGGCGAATGCAAATCGCAAGTCCATTGACAGATAGGCGGGACGAGCGATAGACTGATAGCTATAGCGTTCCAAAGCCACATACTAAATCAAGGAACTAGAAAATGAAATAACACTAAACAAAAAACGGGCCTGGCAAAGGTCGATTGCCTGATAGGGCGGCATTATTTCCAAACGCTAAACCCAAACCCCGAGTACAATGCCCGTCGATCGTTCCTCCCTATTGTTGATCCGTCTAAGGTCTATTTCTTTTCTCCACAATAAGAATAGTTTCCTTTGTTTGCTGGGGACATCGGGAGATAAATTTTCTCGTATCGTATCTTTCCAGCACATGCCACTGCAGCTGCTGCAAGATCTTTTCATTGTTTTTCCCTGCCACTTGTGTTTTGGTTCTTTATGTGAATTCGGAAATACTGGGCTGTCAGCGGGGTGGGTTTAAGCGCACTTTGGGGTTGCTGTTCAGAAACAACCCTAAATCAACTGGCTGGGCGATTTCCTTCTTCCGTTAATTATAGCCCACGGCAAAGTCAAAGTTCTGTGCACCTCTTTCGCACTCAAAAAAGTCGACAATTTCAGGTTTCTTAGGGGTTGTGCCAACGGTTTTTAGAGGTGGTTCAGGTTGTTTTAGACAGGAAACTACGGAAGCAGGAAAGTGTAGAAAGAAATTTCTTTTGGTGCTCAAATGTGAGCCAATGAAATTTTTGGGACGAGGTAGCATCTTTTGGTTTACTTTAGTTTCCATGGCAATGTTGCATCTTTTAAAGATTCCGTTGAACATTGTATAGAAAAACGAAAGAAACCTAAGATGCATCCGAGAACCTGCTCCCCTTCTTTCCATCACTGAAAGCCTGTCTCCAGTCACGTTTCCATTTCATCCATAAAATCTGGTCTTTACTCGATCTCTCTGGCCGTCTCTGTCCCGCAATCTGCAGCGATCTCACTCTCTCTTTGGCTGTCATTTGTTGACCTTCATCAGTCGATGACGATGACGATGATAGATGAACAATCCATTAGTTTGCTCGAAAGAGACTGAGCTAACGGAAGGAAAAGCAAAGCGTACGAATCAAAAACAATTGCCCGTCGATCATATGTTCGCTTATGAAAATACTTTGCTTTTCGTGGGTCTTTTTTGTTTATGATTCGCACTTTCGTTTTGGAAACGCATCTCCGTTTAAGTTTTTTATTTGTTTTAGTTTCTTGCCCCTCTGCCGCACCTGTAACTTAACTTTCAATTGCAGTCGAGGGATTTACGGTGGGCCTAGATGAAGGTAAAGACAAAGAGAAGCCACGAAAATATTTCACACCTGTTCAGGTACGGCCACGCCTTCGTCCGCCTTCGGTCTGTTACGAAAATAGGCAAAAAGTGAAATTTTTGTGGGCTTCTGTTGGTATTTTTAACAACAACATTAAAATATGGCTACACAGATACTTTTTGTATTATTTGGCTGTGTGCGTACGTGCTTTTTGCGTCAGCAGAGCCCGCGCCAAAAAAGAAAAACGTAAAGAAACTCGAAACAGCTCGTCAAATGGGAAAAAACACTAAGAAATAATTCAGTTGAGAAATGTGACGTACATAACATTGTTTTTGAGGAAACTGCATTCCATCAGGAAACCTTGGTTAAGATCAAAACTGCAATAACATTTTTACTGACTTTAAACCTTTTTTGCTTTCAAAATTCATAATTAATTATAGCCACCTTTGTTCTGGGTATATCTTTCATGCACAGCGAAACACAAACAAACAATCTTTTATGATCAGCAGCCAGAAAAACATTCATCGGATGTTGGCTTTATCATCTAATCTTCAAAATTGATAGCAACCATAACGAAAAATCTTATCGCAGGTTGATATGGTGGCAGATAAAATGTATAGAATTACAAAACTTTAAAAGTAATAGATTATGTGAGCATTTTCCAATAGCCCACTTTCCATCATGCTTTCCGCTGTCTACACTTTCATCTCGTTATTATGGCCATTGTTATGCTTTTGTTCATTGTTTTTATGGTCAGCGGAGCAGAAAAGTTGAACTTTAACCTCTCCGCCTTACCGTTATCACTATGTTTTGGCAGAAGCTTTTTTCTGATTTTATTTTAAAGCTCTTCAAGCTGCGATCTCTCTACTTCTTTCATGCTTACTCAGCAGCTTTGAAGCCAAAAACTTATTTCGGATTTACCCCGTCCCTAGAAACGTGTTTCTGGTGGGTGGGCGACCTTGAATGGCGGGCCCAAAGCTAGTTTTATTCAGCTATTGTTATTGGTTGTTTTGGTCAGTCTCTCTATAAATAGAACTCTTCAAGAAACCACATAAAACGGAAGTCTTTGCTGAGACTGCACAAATATTTCGATGACGTTGTCCACATATCCCTCACTCCCTATGTGACACATAACCCGCATGTGATTCATGATGATATTAGGCTATTGAAAGATGATTCAGGGCGCGGTCACCAATACTTCCCTGACCTCATTATGCTTAAAAAACAGAGTCATCGAGTTTGGCTTCTTCTAGTCCGAAAACTCTATCTGCAGTTGGGAATTCTCAGCTTTAGTCGAAAATTACTATTATTCAATTCAAGGGAATTCAACTTGTTTTTACTCATTGAAATATAGAGTAATATTCGAGGTAATGAGCTTTAAAAACAAACTGTCGGATTTTCAAGACAGCTTTGTTTTGGATTTCTCTGCTCGTACTTGCTTTTAGCTGTTTGTTTTGCTAATAAGCAGCCTTGTTCATCTGGTTAGCCATGAAGCAGGTTAAACGCTTCAAATTGCCCTCACTTGTGGTTATAATTCGTATGCATGTTGAGGACGATCAAAGCTGAAAAAACGAAACCTTTGGCGCCAGACGGCTCAGGGGCAGATAGTTCTTGTGATTGTTCGGAATGTTATTCGATTTCCTTCTTGTTTAGACTCTATAAATATCCAGGCGATCCCTCATCACTGCCAGATACTTGGAATCTTTTTCACTCCGCCAACCACATCTGGAGGCAATTGTCGGAGTCTTATTTACCACTGCCCTTTCACAGTTGGCCGAGTGTTTGGTTTAGCTTGGTTTATGTCATCTATCATTTAATTGTTTACACTATGTGAAGTTTTTGTTTTGGTTTCCGGAGGAGAAAGCACGAAATGGTGGGTCGAATTAAACTAGCACACAATATGGCGATAGAGTTTTGTTTGCTCAAGTGTTTATATGTAGATTTGCCTTTCCTTTGTTGGGTAAGCATTTGCTCAAGTTTTAATCGCGGGCTTTTGGGAACAACTCTTGTCTGGCGGAAGTGTGAAGTGATATAGAAGCACTTAGGAGCTGAAGTTCCCGATCTAATATATTGCTGTTTACCCTTTGATGATTGTTTGCTGGCTAGCGAGTGGAATATATTCAGATAGGAACGATTTTAAGGCTCTTTTAACAATTTATATTAGTTAATATTTAGTTTATTGCGTTGAGTTATGTGGAATAACATGTAACAAGGTCGATAGACAATACTTTATTCTGCTTGACAGTTAGTGTCTGAATAATTAAGATCAAAAGCTGATTTCCGATTCTATTCATGGTTTGATTTCTTGCCAATGGACTAGTGTAGTGTGTCGATCTATTTACGTGGTTCGCCTTGAGGCACTAAATCGAATCCCAGATCCCCCTCCTTCCTATAATCGACCTTGTAACCGCGCAATTTGAATAAAAATGTGTCACTGACTGAGGTCGGTCGGTCGGTCGATTTGAGTTGAGTTGAGCACTGCTCAAAATAAAATGTATTCCAATGCCATCGTGTTTATTGCTCGGTGGGGAGAGAGCATAACACATTCGTCCGACTGTACAGGTGATGATGATTTTAGCCCGACCCAAAAAGTTCGTTAAACGCATTGAACACGATATATTTCAAAAACACAAAGGGGGGAGAGTGCATTGCACTTGCACACAATCAATTAATTTGCATGCCACTCAACCATTGACTTTATTTTGAAACACTGTAATAATATTTTAATTTCTCTGTGCCCCACACAAACAACTTTTGCAGCTCGTAAGTTTTATTTGAATTTAGCCAAACCAAAAACCAAAAACCAAAGCATATCAAGCTACCTATTAGCTGAAAATCAAAGTTAGCCAAGCGCAAGAGTTTATTATCGTGAAAAGCACTGAGCGAACACTTAATAAACCGTCAAATTTAGCGCATTGTTTAGAAACTGATTTGGTTTTAAGTTTCTGAACACATTATATTGTTTTATTAGCGCGACAATTGCGAGATCAGTGTACGCCAGACAAACTAAAAAGTCGACTAATAGCCATAGAGATATTGCTATCGTTGAGTTGTCCTTTGGTACACTGCCCGCCTTTCTGTCGTAGTTCTATAACCATTGTAGAGGGTGTCTTGTTTGTTTCCCGTTTGCCAATCGTTGAAAGAATTGCATTAAGGTCATTGAACTGCTGGCTCTACTGAAAACCAGCCAGAGTTTACGAAAAGTTAAGTCTCTGAGTTCTGCGACCGGTGTGTGCACCACAAGTAGCAAACAGATTAGTTTTATTTTCGGTGGCGTTTCGATAGAGAGTTCCTGTGGTCTTTTTGAACTCCCTGAAGCGCAAGTTTTAAACCAGCACGGATCTTGAGCGAAAGATTGAGAGTTCCTTTCAAAAAACTCGTTGATATCGGCCCAATTGGGAAGACCGAGTTCCGTGTTTAGCTGAAAATAAAAGCAAACAAAACTTGTCAAGGGCCGCGAGAACGAAAGGACGAATCCTTCTCCTTCCCACTTCTCCTCCTTGCGATTTGTATCTGGGCCTAGTTTTCTTTTTGCAATTTCCCGACACTTTTTGTCACCAAAGAGTGTTGTTTAATCTACAACCTTAAAAACCACAACAGGTACTAGGCCAGCCCTCACAATGTCTGTCCCTGTACACTACTCCTCTGCTGCCGCCGAATACGTCGCCGAAGTTGATTGTGAGTTGGAGAGCACTCTGCAACAGCAGCAACAGTTACACCTGCAACAGCAATACGAGTACGAGCAATACCAGCACTACCAGTACCAACGGGAGCAGGATATCGCCTACTATTGCCAGTTGCAGGCGGCGCGGCAGCAGGAGCAGTTGATGCAGCAGAGGACATCGATGTCGTCGTCGGTTATGCCAGGCCTCGCCTTGCCCCAGGATCACCAGGACCACCCAGCTACACTTTCGAACGGACCCCACAACAACAACATCGGACTCGCCATGGACGCCCATAGCATCAACGCCATTCTGGTCGACGACGAGCAGCCCTCGACTTCGGCCCAGGCTGCTGCCGCTGCTGCTGCATCCGCAGGTGGATCTGCTGGAGCTGGATTGGGATCGGTATCGGGTGGTACTATTGGTGGGGGCAAGATGGCCAACGGCATTAACCGCAATGCAGAGATGCCAACTGATTGGATGAGGATTGCGGACGAGGGCCGGTATGGGACACCGGGTGCTGCTGGCTTGGAATATCAGAAGTACGAACAACAACAGCTTGATGATTTAGTGGAGGCCGAGGCTGGAGCCATCGGTGGCGCCAACAACAACGGCGAGTCGTCTTCGTCCTCAAAGAAGCTGGAAGATCAGCTGCACGCCCTCACCTCGGATGAGTTGTACGAAACCCTCAAAGAGTACGACGCCCTGCAGGACAAGTTCCACACGGTGCTGCTTCTGCCCAAGGAGTCGAGGGTAAGTCTGCTAAAGAGCTTAGCCAAGTGGTGAAGAAACAATTTGGCCATCTTTTAACCTATACTTATACTTTTTTGCGTTCTTTAGCGCGAGGTTACTGCCGGAGGACGAGATGGATCGGCTTACGTGCTGCGTTGCCTGAAGATGTGGTACGAGTTGCCCTCCGACGTCCTGTTCTCGGCCATGAGCCTGGTGGACCGCTTTCTGGATCGTATGGCCGTCAAACCTAAGCACATGGCCTGTATGAGCGTGGCCTCGTTCCACTTAGCCATCAAGCAGCTGGACTTGAAGCCCATACCCGCCGAGGATCTGGTTACAATATCTCAGGTGGGTGTTTGGAAATCAAACTTAATTCCTCTGAACTGTGCTAACATTCATTGCTTCTATAGTGTGGTTGTACCGCTGGCGATCTGGAACGCATGGCCGGCGTGATTGCCAACAAGCTGGGCGTCCAGATGGGACATGCCCCGATCACTTCCGTGAGCTACCTGCGCATCTACTACGCCCTCTTCCGCAATTTGGCGAAGGAGATCGGCGGCGACTTCTTCAAGTTCTACCAACAGCTGATCAAGCTGGAGGAGCTGGAGAACCGCCTTGAGATCCTGATGTGCGACGTGAAGACAACGGTAATCACGCCCTCGACTCTGGCGCTGGTGCTCATCTGCCTGCACCTGGACTTCCACATCAAGGAGTCGTACACTCGCGGTAGTCCGGAGCTGAAGCACGTCTTCGAGTACATTCTCTTCCTGCAGCAGTACATGAGGGTGAGTTTCTAAAGAATCCCTTATGTTAAGGGTATTGGTTCTAAAAGTTTTTCTATCTTTCCATAGATTCCCGATCGTGTTTTCACCTGCGGTTTCAGCATCGTTTCGGGCATTCTGTCCCACTACAACGGGCAGAACAAGGCGCCCTACAAGCAGCGGCTTGTCTGGAAGTTGTCCAGTCGCACGCTGCGCGTCCTTCGCCCGATCAACCGCTTCTCCTCCGACCTGCCCACCATTGAGGAAGGCATCTCCAATGCCCTCGACGATGGCCTGCGTTCGAGGTGAGTCAAAGATCTTATTTTCAATTGAATTTATGGTTATTGTAAGAATCAGAAAATTTGAATCATTAGAATGTTATATTAACCAACTTCAACTACTATCTAAAGTAGTAATTGTTTCCCTTTTGCAATGGAAACCTAGAACCTTTCGGACTTGGCCATACCGGTATTTAACTTTTTAGTGGTTTTTGACATAGCCAACACGCGCATATATAATCTCGAATGTAAGCAAATGTGTCGATGACGATCTGAACTTTTTGGCGTAAACAAGTTTCTAGAATATTAGCGATTCCATTATCAGCCGCAGTAGCAACAACACAATTGTCATGAGACTGGCTGGCTCGCCCACCCGTCCACCGACCGCCGGCCTTCTCTTCCAACCGACCATTCTATATGCGTGCGCTTGTATAGCAATTTGTTTTTTATTTTCACTGCCCTTGTTTTTGCCTTTTTTTCGGCAACAATCTTATCGTTTCCAAACACCCGCTAGACGCAACAACAAAATACACGCACGTAGACCGCGCAGCGAGGGTCGCCATGAAAGTATTTGCTGGCAAAACATATATATCCGTGGGGTATTTACACATATCTTTGCCAGCTGTTGCTCGCTCGTCCTTGAATGCTCACATTGAACTTAGATGCGCGTTTTCAATGTCATTAAATTTCTATTTTTCGCCTCTGTTGTTTTCTTTACTTTCTCTTCTCTTCCCCAATTACTATCTTATCGCTGAAATGGTTCTCGAGGTTCTTAGGTGTTTCGAAAAGTTAGTCATAAACATTTAAGAGAGTTCAATGCACCTTCCCCGAACTTTGTGTTCCAGTTGCACCTGAGCAAAGGCTTACCCAGCTATCAGCTGATTTTTGGGGGCCTTGATTAGCAGGGGCCTTCAACTTGAACTCGTTCGGTTAATTGGTGTTTGGAAATAATTAAGATTGTTAGCTAGCTGCAATATCACCTAGAAACTTGCGATGTTGTACGGAGTTAGGGTTATATAACGAAAGCGATAGAAGAATTTATTTTAATGAACTTATTTTTATTTTTCATTTCAGAACCGAGAGTATTAGCTCCGAGGAGGAGGAGGACTGGCCCACTTCACCCATAATTCCAATTTTCGAACAATGTTAGTATCCAGCGGCCAGCCAGCAGCAGCGAAGCAGCAGGGTCAGCAGCTGGACAACTAAAGCAGCGGACAAAGGAACCATCAACCAGACGCCCTCGCGGCACACAACCCATGCTTTCTTGGGGCCACCATCCTCCTGAAAATCAAGCACTAGACATATCCCCATCGGAAGCAGAATGAGGAGCAGCAGGAGAAGGATGGAGGTCCTTGGGGACGATTTGTGCACGTGAGAGGGTTCCGCGTGAAAGTTTAGAGTGCTGGTTGAGGTAGAGTGTGTATATTTTGCTAAAGTGCATCATAATTCTTTTGGCATCTACACAAACGTGTATTTGGTAGCGCTGGTTCTAACATTTAAGAAACTATTGAGATACAAAATGTGGGCGTCAAGGGGACGCAACCATGCCCTCCCCCTCTTAGAAAGTGGCCCGAGAGTAGCCCCTCCCCCAATTTTTCAATTTATTTGCGGCAGACAAAAAAATACGTGAAAAAAAAACAAATAAGAAAAAAGTCAAAAAAAAATCAAAAACAATGCTGCGGACCATCATACAAAAGATTGATGCCGTTCCGGATCATTATTCGAGATCAGTGATAGAAAGAATACGATTTGAGAATTGCGAACCCACGCCGAAATCCCGAACATCTGGAATGGGACAGCAGTTTTTTGTTGGATGCGCTGGAAACCGTAAAAAAAAATTTAAAAAGAAACAAAAACCCAACAAAAAGAAAATAATTTTCAAAAGTCCCCCTAGATTAGTTGTAAAACCTATGTTCTCTATGTTTGTCCCGCTCTTATCAGTTAATGTAAAAGCCCCGAATCAATGGACCCAAAAACAACCACAAAAAAACATAAAATCTAAAAAAAAGTACAAAAGTTCTTTGTGTATAGGCCGACCTAAAGATAAGCTTAACAGAAAATCAGTAAAAACAAGGTCAGATCAGATTAATCAGTAATTTTAGCCGCGCTCAAAACAAAAGCAAAAGCAAAAGAAAAAAACAAAACAAAAACAAAAACCATAGAAAAACTAAAGTATATTTCGCCGCCTGTATTGACTAAGAACTCTTAACAATAATAATTACATTAAACAAAGATACGATGAATCCACAATATGTAGTGTGTGTCTAGTAGATTTTCTCTGTAAAACATAAAAATGAAAACCAAACAGAAGCGAACTCAATTTCCGCCCTTAAAAATCAAAAGAAATCACGACAAATGCAATCTTTAATAATCTTTCATTATCATACGCAGCTAAGTGAACTTGTTATTAACTTAGAATTGTTTTTCACTTGAACAATCAATCAACTTCACGGCATTGAGATTTAGTTCGAGTACCACGGTGATCCTCTTTTTATATTATACCTTTACATATAATACACGAGCTCTAATTCTTCTTTTTTGTTACGTAATATTATTTAACTTATTAAAGAAATTGTAAAACGAAATCCATTCTATTGTGTACCATACGAAACTAGAATTAACCCTAGTTTAAAGCAAAACCAGCGTCGAGACAAGGCCAAAATTCAATTCAATTCAGATTGAAGCGCGGCAAACATTCAGTAGAAATTATGATGCAACATTTAGCAAGATGTACCGAGAGAGGGTCAAGCGAAGAGTTTTCGAGAGCATAGGCATAGGCAATGACAAAACTAACGCAGAGCATAAAACAATTGAAATTTCGAAAATTCAAAACTTTTTCATTTTTTAAACCACTTGGCAGCGGAATGTGCAAACTCCTGTCTGTAAATTTGAATAAAATGCGTTTGCCCCGCAACAAGGGCATTCACTTTTCATGAATATTTACAACAATCTCGCCTGTTTTATTTCATTTTGTCCGTGTTCAGATGCAGTGCAGCGGCGACTCCGGCGAAATGTGAGTACACCACCACCGTTTCCAATCCCAATTCCCCAGAATCCCGATCCAATGAGCCTGAGCACGCGACGAATGTAAATAAACCCGAGCGACTTTGCTGTAAATATTCAAGGACTCTCGATCTTTAACAATTGTGCAATAGATTTTGTAATTTAGTAACCTTCACACAGCCTGAATATCAGTTCTGTAAAGGAACCGAGACGAAACATTGTTAACACAGTCGAACGCTGAATCGAAATGCAAAACAATTAACTATATTTAAGCGACAGAGATCATGTGTTCAGTGGCGTAAAACACGTTTTTAGCTTAGTCCAACTTTTAGTAAGAGCCAATTGACAAATAAGCGATTAAGAGAAAGGTGAAAGCGGTGAAAGGAAGTCTAGAACTAAGTTTTTCTACCATCGACTGCCACGGGCTGAGATTTCATAATTTTAACAACTAGAAAATTTTACATTGTATTTAGCGCGGAGTTAGTTAAATATTTGCAAAGATCAACATCCAAACAAAAGGAAAATCTCAATTATTGTAAAGTATATTTTAGTTTTAGGTCCTATTTGACTTTGACGACTCCATTTCCCATCGTGAAGTTTTGAGCTTATATTCGGTTGAGGTTTAGTTACTTAGGATTAGTTACGTCGCGAAATCAATTCATATTGTACATTACGAACCACCCATTTTAATTTATTCTAAATTACAACCTGTAATTAACAATTAGATCCTACTTTAGACGTCCACTAGCATCATTCTTGAGCAAATGGATCATTGTGAAAAGAAAATATGCAACAAGCTGTTTGAAAACAGCGGGAAGCTCGTGATTTAAATCATTGTACACACATTACAAGAAATAAATGGAAAAAGTATTATTAAATGGTAAATGGACAACGGTGTTTTCTTATTTTGACGAGGCCTTTAATTTTATATTATTTAAAACTATTTTTATAATTGGTCTTGATATCCTAATAATTACATTTTCTTAATAGTAACTTTTTTATAAAACGGAAGAAATGTTTTTATGACGAAAATTTGAATTGATTACCAAACGATTACAGACAGTGCTGCCCAGATTTTTAATATTCAAATGGAATATGGTTTGTGGAATCACTAAGCCAATTCTGAAACTATTGTCGCCATATCAAAAGCCACGTTTCATACCAATAACTATCGGTGTCGGTAAATTAGCTTTAATCGATACAATCGATGGCTGGTACACGTATGCCGACTATCGATGCCACCGCGATATCGATGAATTGACAGGTCTACTTCCAGCTCTAACATAACCTTCCTTTTCCAATAATTTTTGTGCTGTGTACACGTGTTTTACAATGGCACCCGTCGAGAAAGCTAAAAAGGTGGCCAAATCGGCCAAAAAGGGCAAGAAGCACCCCGTGAACTCCTACCTGAAGGGTGGAATTCTGCGTTACTCCAAGGCCCAGGTAAAAATCGCCGGAAACAGTGGGGAAATGGCCGCTTGGCGCTGTGACGCCTCCGGTTGAGGGAGTAGCACATCGTGGTTTACATATAGCGCTGCGGTTCCATGGGATTACCTTGAATTGGATATAGCCTCCATGTTTATCTAATTTTTCTGGATTTATCTCCTAACTTGTGCCGTTTTATTTTGTGACTAATTATTTAGCATTTAATAGTGCCTGCAAATACAATTATTTTTAATTATTACTTAGGAATATTAATGTGTACCAAGTGCAATATAGATCCAATCTTGTTCTTGATTTTTAATCAAAATTACCGATTGTTTACTTTTTGCCTTAAAAATTAGCCAAATAATAATTAATATCCTGAGATATTTTGAAGCAACAAGTGAAACTTCATTTCAGTTTAGTAGTGCCTTTAACTTTAAAGATTGCTACTCTCGCCTTGCGTAGTCCAACCTAAAAATAGCAATACAATGCATAAACCAAAAACCCTCTCTATCTTGTGAATTGGGATTTCCCAGCCCAAAATCTACCCAAAGATTAACTTTTAAAACTAACTCCTCTTTTTCCTTTGCAGATGTACAAGCGTCGTGCTCTGTACCGCCTGAAGGACAAGAAGAGCCCAGTGGTGCAGAAGGTTAAGGTACCAATCAAGAAGGTGAAGAAGATCGGAGGCCCCAAGAACGGTGGTGAGCGTACGGTTTACTTGAACAAGTCCAAGGCAACCTACCCCACCAAGACGTTCGTCAAGAAGCGCCCATCCAAGGCCAACTTCAGCGAGCACAAGCGCAACACTCGTCGCAACCTTACCCCCGGAACCGTTCTTATTCTGTTGGCTGGTCGCCACCAGGGCAAGCGCGTCGTCCTGCTGAAGGTTCTGGCCTCCGGACTCCTGCTGGTCACCGGACCCTTCGCCCTCAACTCGTGCCCTCTGCGTCGCGTTTCTCAGCGTTACGTTATCGGCACCTCTTCGAAGGTGGATCTGGGTGCCTTCAAGGTGCCCGAGCATTTGAACGACGCCTACTTCCGCCGTCTTAAGGCCAAGAAGGACAAGAAGAGCGGCGAGGCCGACATCTTCGCAGCCAAGAAGGAGCGATTCGTTCCCAACGAGCAGCGCAAGAAGGACCAGAAGGAAGTGGACGCCGCCCTGTTGAAGGTAATCAAGGCGCATCCTGAGGGCAAGTTCTTCGCCAAGTACTTGCAGAACATGTTCGCCCTGCACTCCTCCCAATACCCCCACCGTATGCGATTCTAAGCCGGCGGAATTGGGTCTTCAGTTTAAGGATTTCTAAAGCAAAAACACTGTACAGCGCGCCCGCTGGTTAGACTAACAGGATTTGTAAAATAAACCTTACAAAACGGAATATTCTCATAGACTTTTGTATTCAATTTTCATTTTAAGGAAAAGGTTTTCATAGGGATTCGGACGGCGTATCCATATTTGAGAATACTGAGTAAGTTTTTGAAGATTTTTATTAAAAATAAGACGAACCTTTTATTTTGTTTACAATTTATTCAAATTAATTGGGAATAGGCGGTAAAAAAGAATTTAATTTTATAAAAAGGTTTACAGTGGAGGAATTAATGGGCTACAAATAACTTCGAATTTATCTGAGTACTATATCTAAGTGCAAATATTGTTTGTGTTTTCTTTGGGAACATCGATGGGATCCGGGAACTCTGGCTGCAAGTTCAGTGCCGCCATTAGTTTCCGCCTCCCATGAACGTACCACAACATCTCTCGATACGATCGCGGGAGGACTTCGTCCAGATCTTTGTCTGCTCTGTACGTTAAGTAAAAAACATTTGTTGTCTGTACTTTTCCACTCTTGGCATCCCAAATCTGAGCCACGGTCATGAGCTGAACGTAGTTCCGCGCGGCATAAACGACATAGGCGGTGAGTTGGAGAAATCGGTTTACATGTACTGGGTGCATGAAACTAATGTCTGAGATGCACTTTAGAATGGGCCGATCTCCCAGATAGAGGCTGGCCATTATGAAGCTAATTTCCACGGCCTGGCGCATTAGATATCCGCCAAAGATGGTGTTTTGCGCATTTCTGTTTTCAGGGAAAGGAGCAATCATTGTCGTCTGCAGGGAATCTTCCATCCATCTGCATTTTGGAGGCAGGACCCGCTTGTTGAGATCGATGCTGTTGGCCGGAGTGGTTCTCTTAAGAATTTCGTACATGATGGTTTGTTCGTACTCCCTGGGAGGTGAGTTAAACACGGACTCCTGAGCCGAGGACTTACGCAGCTTCTGCCGTTTCTCCGCCTGCTCCCAAATGAGCTTCTCGGTTTCATCACCTACCTCTAAAGGATTTATAGGCGCTGGACCTGTATTGGTGGCATTTCGGGCCACCATGACAAAGATTGCTTTCGTCACATCAATGTACTGGCCATGAGCCAATTGCTTTACATAGATGGTAATCTCCATTGAACTGCGACCCGCCCACGAGATGTGCCCGCTAATCTCGATGTCCTGGTTGACCTGCAGGCGCTCCAGATTGGTGAATTCCACTTTGTCCACGAGCAAAGTAACAAAGGTGTAAGGCAAAGGCACTCCTTTGGGTAATTTTGGTAACTTCACATGCCGGTGACAGATCCACACAGCAAACATATCCAGTTCCTCCATTATCCTGCCCAATCTCACCCTGCCCAGGTGGTTAACATAGCTCTCACGGATTAACTCGCTTGAACTTAGGGGCAGAATGGCAGTGGTATGGGAATCCAGCATGGTTCTGGGGGGCAGTTCCTCTCTTTTGGGCTGGTGCTGCAGGAGATGATCTCGAGGCTTTGGAATGGTGTGATAACCCACGTCCACCCCGGATTGCTCGCGAATAGTACGCGCCACTGGAAATATTAACCGGTTATTTAGGCTGAAAAATGGATAAATATTCATATTCTAACTCACCTTCAACCATCGTCCCGGAGCGATGATCCGATTTCACCTTTGGTCCGTTGCCCTCGGAATAGCTCCTAGGAATCTGGTGGAACGGAAAAGTAGAGCAGTTCGTGGCCAGCAGACGTCTTCTCCGGGATGTCGGCAAGCGGCATCTCCTCGCCATGACAGCTCTTAGTCCGTGTGCTAATACTAAGAGCATTTTTCCAGGTGCCCCGGGTAACCCTTCTGGGTATCCGATTGGTAAAATGTACTTTACAGTTCCTAATACGTAATACAGTTTAGTTCGATCGGATTGGCATCGAGTGCTGCCTCTTGAACTGCGGAATAGAGAGTGATTTTAGAACCCAGAAAGAGCATTGGCAAATCTTTCGACAACGTACGATTACATGGCTCTCAGTCGACTGAGAACCCGCGCATGACGATCACCTGGCCATTAGGTGAGAGATTTCCTTCCTCCACTCAGAAAAACGATTTAATTTTTAGAGGTACTCAATTTTATGGTGTCTGAAATAATTTTGAAAATGACAAAAATAAATTTGGCATTTTAAACTTTACTAAAAATATTGATATACAATGCTTTGATGCAGACTTATAATGAGGCCATACTTTCTATAAGTAGGTTAATAAGCATCTAAATTTTTGCTGTGCATCAATCCTAACTATAATCTAATCTGAAGAGAAGGTGTAAAGATGATGTTATGGAAAAATGTCAGACAAATAGAGCAGATATGGAAAATTTTACAGCTGCTTTCAGATGATTGGGCGAAAAAGTATAACTAACCAATTATGTTTTCTATGTATCAATCTAAGCCACAATCTAATCTAAGGGTGTCCATTCATGTGCGTGTCCAGAACATTGACGGTGGTCATGATCTGCCCGTACTTTAGCATGCAACATAATCATGATAATAAGTTAACGATATGTATACAAATTTATTTCATTAAATCCGAAATTTTTGAAAAAATATTAAAATTTAAAGTTTAAACTTACCACTTAAAATTTAGTTTGATTATAAATTTTGTAATAATCATTGACATTTCGATTGATCATCTCTGCTGGCCTTGAACTTTCGGCGACCGTGAATGTACCACATGGTTTCTTGGTAGGAGCGAGGCAGGACCTCAGGGACCGTGTCCGGAGCGGAGTAGGTGAGGTAGAACACGTTGGTGATCACATCGGCATCACCCAGGACATCAGCAAAAGTCATAATCTGCATGTAGTTATGCTTCGTGTACACCACAAAGGAGGTCATCCTGATGAAGCTATCCATTCTTACTGGCTTTGCAAAACTAATGTCCGAGATGTGCACCAGTTTCGGTCGTGCTTTGCAGTATAGGGAGGCTGCGGTCCAGCTAATCTCTATTGCACTTCGCATGAGAAATCCACCGAAGACGTTGTTGTGGTGATTTCTGTGCTCCGGAAACGAAGCAATCGTGCTGGTTTGATAGGAGTCCTTCATCCACATGCAGTTTGGAGGAAGAAGACGCATTTTTAGTTCAGAGTGTTCCGTAGGAATGGTTCTCTTGTAAAGCTTGTATATCAGCGACTGTTCCTGAGCGTTGGGTTCCACTTTGAAAACAGAATGGGCGCTCAGTAACTGCCTTTGTTTTTTTCTATCTGCTCCACCATCCAAGATCTCCTTTTCCTCTTCATTAGCCGGATGTATGGGATTCACTGGAGCTGCTCCCGTGTTGGTGGCATTTCTGGCCGCCATTAGGAAGAGAGCTCGAGTGATTCTCTGGTAGTTTTCTTCGACTATCTGTTCCAGCCACACCACCACCTCCATGGAACTGGTTCCCACCCAGGAGACGTGACCAGATAGGCGGATATCTTGGGTGCCTAATGCCGGGTAGTTCGTGAAATCGATTCGGTCTACCAGAATGGTCACAAATGTGTAGGGTAGAGGCACTCCCTGAGGAAGGTTTGGCAGCTTCAGATGTTTATGACAGCACCAAGCTGGAAAGTATTAAGTACAAAATTTATAAACTGGATTATCCTTTTCAAAACACTGAGGTTACCAGCAAACAGATCCATGTCCTCCACGAGCCTGCCATAGCGCACAAAGCCCATGAAATTTATATACATGTCCTGCAACACGCGGTCTGTGCTCAGTGGGATGATAGCCGACGTGAAGGAATCCTGCATAGATCGAGCAGGTAGATCCTCCAACTTGGGTTGGTGCTCAAGAAGCTCCTTCCTCGACTTTGGCTCCCGGATGTAGCCTGGTTTTAGGCCCAAGGTCTTCATCATCTCTTTCTTGACTGGAATGGAATATTTGTTTATATGGCACACTTAAATTTATGGAAATTTCAATATATACTTTCCGCCATGGTGCGGGATTTATTGTCGTCGGCACATTTTTTGGTGCCCTTGTCCGAAGAATAAAAACGCCTGTTAGACGTGAGAGAATAAAAACGTTTTTTTGAGTGGATCTAATCGACACTCACCTGTACGATGTGCTGGTCATGCTCATGAGATTTCTGGCCCTAGGAATGCCCCGCCACATTCGGGCCCCAAAGGAAGGCAACATTTAGAGTTTAAAATGTTTAAAACCAGGGCTAATCGAAACAGTTCTCTAATCTGGTTCCAGATCAAGAGCGAAATTAAAAACCTGTCAATTTGGGTTAAGCCGAGAAACGAAAATTTTGAACTGAATTTAGAAATGAAGGTGTAATTGAAATGTTTTTGAACATAAACATAATTTATATATTAACAAATGAATCAATGTGACTCAATCCAGGAGAAACGAATTACACTTCGAAAGTAAAGCTTATAATGTATTTAAATTAATTTTGTTTTATAAACAGGATAAAAAGGTCCTAGATTCTGGAAGGGAGTCAGAAGCAACAAGGGTTTGCAAATGCACAATGTCAGACGAAATACATTTATTGAACTTTATAAACACGCAGTGATAGCAATTATCTTGACGGATAGCCTCGTTTAATATCAAAGGGTATGTGCAGTGTGTAGGGATCTATTTCAAGCCCATGCTGGCCTCGAACTTCCTACGACCTTGGATGTACCACATGGTTTCGTGGTACGAGCGAGGTAGCACCTCAGTAACCGTGTCCGGAGCCGAGAAGGTGTAGTAGAACGTGTTGGTAGTCACCTGGCTGCCGGTGTGCGTATCCAGAACATCGGCGACTGTCATGATTTGCACATAGTTCAGCTTTGTGTAGACGACATAGGCGGTCATCTTGATGAAGCTATCCACGCTTACTGGCTTTTCGAAACTAATGTCCGAAATGTGTTCCAGTTTGGGACGCGTTTTGCAGTATAGAAAAGCTGCTGCCCAGCTTATCTCCAAGGCACTTCGCATAAGAAAGCCTCCGAAGACTCGGTTATGGTGATTCCTGTGCTCAGGAAACGAAGGAATCGTGCTCATCTGAAAGGAGTCCTCCATCCAGCGGCAGTTTGGTGGCAGGATGCGCTTATTTAGTTCTAAAGTATTGCTTGGAGTCGTCCTCTTGTACAGCTCATACATAAGGGTTTGTTCAGGATCGTTGGGTTCCACCTTAAAGACTGACTGTGCGCACAAAATCTGTCGTCTCTTCTTTCTGTCTGCGCCTCCTGCCAAGATCACTTTTTCCTCCTCATTAGCCGGCTGTATAGGATTAACAGGAGCGGCTCCTGTATTGGTGGCATTTCTAGCCGCCATTAAGAAGAGGGCCCGAGTAAGCTTCTGGTATCTTCCATCAACCATCTGCTCCAGCCACACTACCACCTCGATTGAACTTGTTCCAACCCAGGAGACGTGACCGGATAGGCGGATGTCTTGAGTGCCCGATGCCAGGACATTTGTAAAATCGATTCGATCCACCAGAATTGTCACAAAGGTGTAGGGTAGATGAACTCCCTCTGGGAGATTGGGTAGCTTTAAGTGCTTATGACAGCACCAGGCTGGGGATATTGGATCATATAAAAATGGGTCGCAGTTATAAGGGATCTTCCTTACCAGCAAACATGTCCATATCCTCCAGCAGCCGGCCAAATCTCACGCTGCCCAGATATGTCACATATTTGTCTTGCAATGTGCGATCGGTGCTCAGAGGAATGATAGCCGAGGTGAAGGAGTCCTGCATGGCTCTGGCAGGTAGATCCGCCAACTTTGGCTGGTACTTGAGCAACTGTTCCCTGGATTTTGGCAGCGGATTGTAGCCAGGCTCTAGACCCAATCTTTTCATCATCTCTTGTTTGACTGTAAGGTTCAGGGTTAATAATGGGTTCGATTTTCACTTGATGCTGGATCCACTTACTCTCCGCCATAGTTCCGGATTCGTTGGCCACCGCCGATTGCTTAATATGAGTTGGCGGTGAGAAGTGACGCCTATTATTAGGGGAAATGAAAATATATAGAACCTTCCATTTTGGATTTTTAGGTACTGGATACAAACTTGGACACCGCAAAGGATGCTCCAACCTGTTTGGTAGACACCTCCATTAGGTTCTTGCTCCGAATCAAGCCCCAACACTTTTGTGCTCCCAACAAAGAACGCAACATCTTGATTTAATCAAATTTTAAACTTTTCTTTTAACTTTAAAGTTTTGTATGTAACCCGTCTGCGATTTGACCTCAAATAAAATCAGCTGGACGCCTTAACAGCTGATTGGCACAGTGGGCCCCATGATAGTTGCTTTAAATGTAATTTAAACCTCCTTAGAGTGGAACAATTGTTACATACTATCTTTTCATAAAGGAAGGTAATTGATTGAAATAAAACATTTAGTCTTTTACCAATTGGAATATACTACGAAGTAAATCATAAAACTGTAACCTTTTCACTTTTATTACTTTGGGTCCCACTGTGCAAGAAAAGCGATAAAAACATATGACGTCATCGCGTTTGTTGTTAATTCAAAATTGGGATTCGGAGACTCACAGTCGATTGCCTTCTAATTAACACACTCAATACAATGACTCACAAGTAATATTTGAACTCGGACTTTAAAATCAATCCCTATTAATTTTATGGAAACAAAATTATCGTATTTTAATACTTGCATTCGATATTTGCAACTTATATAAACAATTTAAATTTTAAACAATCTTTACAAAAATAATTACAATGTTTATTTATTTATTTACAAAATGTATACCCTTAATCCAAAAGTAACTACCTCATGTATTTTACTTCATTTATTCGTATAAAATAGGGAATTACAAACTCCTTATGAACTCCTCCCTTAAAGATTCAGTTCCTTAAGCGCAAAGTTTAGGACTACCGATAGCATACCGGCATCTTCCAGATCCAGGATCTGCTGACGCAGGTTGTCTACCGGGTGGGAAAGTATTATCTGCAAGAAGATCGCTTAATGACGGATGCAAATATGTAAGTGCACACTAAAAACCAACCTTTTTAATCTTTTTGCGATCCTCGGAGCTCTGACAGAAACTGAGCAGCGCCGCGGCCATGTGAGGTCGGTGGACGACAATGCAATGCTCGGCGAACTGCAGTAGATTAAGAGCATGAACAACTGGACAACCCTGGAGGCGCAGAAGCGTCTTGTGCAGTAGCTCCTCCTGCTCGAAGGAGCGTGTCTCCACGGCGTTCTTCAGAGGATTGCAAAGCACATAGTCCCAGGCCTGGGCCAATCCATCCAGGTGAAGCAGATGCGGCCGGCAGCTGAGCACATCTACCAAAGCATTCAACTCCCTGACCATGTGGAACAACACCATACGTTTAAGGATGCCGTTCCAGATTTGCGGCAGGTGTATGTCGAAGCCAAGACAAATGTTGGCCATCACCTCCAGTGATAAGGGATTCTGCGCATTGCGCTGCCAGATCATCTTCAGAATGTCAATCTTATTGCAATGGTTGTCGGAGAACTTCTCAAGGTTCGTCTTGTAACCGAGAGTCTTTAGCTCGTGCACACACTTAATGCTAATAAATTGGCGTTGGCTGACCGTGTTGGTAAAGGAGTTGCTGCCATCGTTTAGCTTGGAGTAGCACTCGTACATTTGCAGCTGTGTTGAGGTATTTACAGATCTAAAGAAGTGGACCCTGATAAGCATGTCGGTTAATTTAAAGAAATTTAATTCTTACCCGCCCTTGAAGATTAAACCCACAAGGAACTTGACCGCCTCAGCTTTTGGCCAGCTGGAGAGTATGTAAAAGGCTCTGTTCACATTTTCGCTGGCGTCCTGACTGTTTGTGCCGTCCGCACCATTAGTCTGCTCCGGCCAGTTCTGCTCCTCCATGAAAGTCTCTTCTAGAATAGTACCGTCAGCCGCAGGCTCCATTGTCAGTGACAGCCACTTCTGCAGCAGACGGTATTGTATAGTGGGCAAACAGAGGTCGTGAAGCTTAGCGATCTCCGCGACCAAGGCGTTTATGTCTACTTTGCTGGACTTGAGGATCAGCTCGTGGTGGTACAGACCGAAAATCAACTCGGTTGGATTGTCAACCTGGCGCAGAAGCTTCTCGTCGGTCAGGCCATAGACATACAGCAAATGCTGTGTTTTCTGAATGGGATACCGCCGCTTTACCTTAGCTACCTGTTCGCGACTCTTTGGATCGGTGATAAGATGACCTTTCTCCTTGACGAATTTCCAGCATTCAAAGGAGGCCTCCACTTGGTCTGCTCCATCTCGAGCATAGTTGGACACAAAGTACAGTATAAGAAATGCCTTATTGGGGTTGTTTACTTTCTCGACCAGGCGTAGAATTGATTGAAGGAAAGCATTACTAGTGGGATGAAGACTCCATGACTCTGATTCGTTCTTCGACTTGTACTCCGATATCGAATTCTTTACTGCCGACATGCAGAAGTAGTCACAGTTTGGAGAGCTATCCTTAGCTCCTTTTAGGGCCGTGTACATTTGAATTAGTGGGAACCAACTCTGGCAGTTGTCTACGTTCAGTTCGCTGTCTGAATTAAAGTAAAATAAACAAAAATAAGAAGACCAAGTCAATCTCTGATAGGAAATTGAGTCTACCAAGAATATCCTTGAGAGGTTGCTCTACTATTGGCATGAAAGGCAGGCGGTAACGTGATATCTTCGGCATGACGCCATTTTCCCTCTGCGACTTAAGCCACATGTCTGTCTCTATCTGACCCGGACGATTACGTCTCCTGGTGATCATTTTATGCCGCAAGAAGTGTAAAATGTTTTTCCAGATCTCCATTTCCTTCGGTGCCGCATCAAAATACATTAAGATGTTGATCACACACATATACAACTCATAGAAGTATATGTTGATCTAAGTAATAAGTTAATTGTTTAATAGGCATATCTTTAACCTGCAGAAACTTACTTCTTCAATGAAGCTTTTCAATTTGGAAGTAAAGAGCTCCACATTGTTGATTTCATTGATGTACGGCTGGCACATATCGCGCATTTCCTGAGCGCTGCTTAGCATAACCAGTTCCTCGTCGCCAAAGGTGTCTTTCTTGACCTCAAAGCGTAACTCCTGGGCACTTAGAATGCTTAGTATCTGGGTTATAAGTATCTTTTGGTAGTCGAAACCAAAGTCCTTGCTCATGCGCTCCAACAACTGTACGTCGAGCTGCTTGTTGTGGAACTCCTTAAGGAGGTCTTCCACGTTGTCCATGTCCGCGTTGAACTTGCCCTTGATCCTAGGATCCTGCTGACAAAACTCCAGGTAATAATAAAGTTTTAAACGCCTGGAAAAATAAAGGATAGACAAATATTATATATAATAATAAATATATCCTTATTTAACTTACTTTGAACGTATCATTTGCACGTTTTCTACGTCTTCAATGTGTTCGTGGTACATGGCAGATAATGTCAGGAAGTTGATCTTTTGCAAGTCAGTCTTTACTTCTGTGGAGAGCTTTTCCAGCAAAGCCAGTGCTTCGCTGTCCACAACCAGCATGGTAAAGAGTTCAATGAAATTCGTTTCTTTGCTGCCCATAGCATTGCGGAATATGCGACGCAGTTGCAGCGTAATAAAGCCCTCGTTGATGATCCGCTTCTTCCGACAGTTCTGCTTTTGGAAGTCCAGCAAATACTGTGACATTACGTACCAAACGTCGTGCTCCTTAGCCTTTGTCAGGTGTTCTAACGACAAGAAAAAGTCTGCGCGAGCGCTATCGAGGTCCGCCTTTGTGTTTTCAGCTAGTCCATGGCGCACCTGCATCAACAAGGAATTGCTCGGCTCTGTTTCGGTTACCATGAGCAAAAGTGTACGGGCTAAAAACTTTACTACTGCCATGTGACCCCCAATGCTCTTCTGAAAAAGTGATTGAATTATAAATAGTAAATGTAATGAGATACGATCATTACCTTCTGCTGTATTTGCTGAATAGGCTGGACTTCCACCTCATCGAACATGGACACCGAGTACCGCTTCTTTGTGGCCGTCGGTGCCTGTAGGGATTTTACGTCAAAGGACCCGTTAAGAGGTGTAGTGAAATTCAACGTAGTCTCGCTTAGGGCCACTGTAATTCCATCAAGGGCCCGGCAAATGTGTTCGTTAACAGCTTGCTCCTTGCCGTCGTAGTATGTCTTAATAGCATCTAGTGGATAGTGGATCACAGCCACTCTTATGTATTTGATGAGTTCAACAAGATCACGACGACGACTGGCCTCGTGGAGCAAGGCCGAGGTAAGTAGCTCGTAGGCTAAAAAAAAACTTAGGGGATCGCTCTCATTTATAAGCTGTAGCGAGGAAGCCGATTCTAAAAATGAGAGGCCCAACTCAATTAGTTATTAAATCTGATTATTAGTTGACTGCAATCTGTAGTAAAATACTTACCCCGATTATTCCCCTTGGCATTTTCGATTTGCTGAACCAACAGCTCGACAGCTAAATTAATAAAATCGCCTGCATTGGAGGGCTTACAGTCAACGAAGCTAATCACGTGGAATGCCAGGGCACAACTGAGGGGCAGACACCCAATCCGCTGGGAAATACGATTCAGACCAAACACCTTGGACAGACTAAGAGCCGTGCAGAGTTCACCTATTTCGCTGGCTATAAAAGCAGACACATTTAGCGTGGCTTGGGCCCGTTCTATGATTCTTTCAATGGCCTCGTCTAGGAGAGCATGTCGCCTTTGCAATGGTATGAGTTCGCTGCTGCAGCTTAGTTGGATTCCGAACTTCCAAAGGCGAAAGCGATGCTTTATCACCAAGTAGCGTCGCTCATAAACGGACTCAACATGCGGCAAGAACAACTTGGAGAGCTCAAGGACGTTTATGTGTTCCTGAACCTTAGTCTCGTCCTCAAACGATGAAAAAGAACTGTTCTCGAGGAGTTTAATAATAATCTCCACCACGTCTTGCCCGTTCTTTGAACTCTTTTCGGCATTCAGCGTCTTGAAGAACTCGTAGGCCATCTCGATTTGTCCTCGTCTGGCCATTTGGTAACAACAGTTAAAGTTGGCGCTGGTTGAGATGTCTGGCGCCGCCTTTGTCAGTGCGGTGATATCGTCTAGCATGTCCGGAAGGTTTAACTTGACGATGCGCATCATGAAAAGCTCTAGGTTGATGTCGGAGCTGTCGGCAGGCCATCCGTACTTCACTTTCATGATCTTGATCACCTGAATTTCGTACTCAGCGTTGATCTTTATAGCGAGGGGATGAGTTGAAGTACGCAGTCTAATGAGAGGTGCTAGTGTATCCGGCCAGGGAACGGGTGCATTCTGCAGCACTGACAATGCGCACTCTAAACGACTGTCTTCATTGTGAAGCAGCTCAATGCAAGCCATCGCTCGCTCTAGCCAAGTACTAGACGATTGACGACTGGCTACCAATTGTGATATGTACTGCTTGATCACGTCCAGAGGCTGCCGACCCTTCTCCTGGAAGATCGGGTACATGAAGTTCTTAACCAGCCTCTGCAATTTGTCTAATTGAACGTGCTGCAGAATGCTCAACGCCGTGGCATCAATGGAGTCCTGCATGTAGTTGTCTAGAGTGAAGCCCATGTTGTAGTTGGTCTTCAGAACGGACAGATCCTGAAGGGCGTTGACTAATTCCCGGAGTTTGCCAACATTCCGTTCTTGCTGTCGCCGAACATCGCTGAAAAAATAACATAAATTAATAATAACATACATGATATAGCAGGATTTAAACTACGAGTAAGTAAACTGGATTTCTTCAAATATGTCCAGTATCTTGGTGCAGAACTCCAGGCCTATATCCGGCCAGTGCGGACTATACTGCAGATTTCGAGTCATCTCAATGCTCCAGTCAGTAATAAAGGGCATTATGCTAGGATGTGTGTTGCTGACCATCGGTATGAACTGACGCAGCCACTGGACCACGTTGAAGGGCTTCGTGTTGCTAGGAATGAATCCCAGAAGCGTGCGCAACTCATCCTCGCTTAATAGGGGCAGAATACTACTCGAGTGGCGCCGCCAGATTAAACATGCCGTCGGCATATCAGTGTTAAACAGCGACTTAACCATTCTGACCAGGTTGTTGTCATAAATGAATTTCTGCCACTCCGTATTGCATTCGTAGGGATCTATGATGACCAGGGTTTTAAGTCGGTGCAGTTGCTCGTCAATTTCCAACATATCTTCCTCATCATCGTCGAAACTTAACCGTTTTTTTACCTCAAGGAGATAGCGCTCAAGAATTTGTCTCGAATTTAAGTTGATCATACGATGGCTTTTTATAAAGGCTTTGCTCTCCACTTTCGACAGCAAGTTTAACAAGCTCTGGAATTTTTCATCAACCTCTGAGGTTGGCTTACGGGAATTCGAGTTACAAAGCTCTACTAGAATGCGTTTCGCCTTGGCTTCGTAGATGGGCTGGAGGCACAGCTCGAACTGGTTGCCAAATTCCTTTTAAAACCGTGAAGGATTAGAGACAGATTACAGATAACAGATTACTTAATTACCTCTGCTTCCTCCAGACGCCCTTTGGCAATCAATTTTTTGAAACGATCACTGGGATCCGTCTCAGAAACGAGCATCATCTCCACCACCGAGGGAATACTACTTTGGTTGACCTCCTTAGCAGCCAGGTAGTACAAGTTGACAGCACACTTTGGCTGCCTAACGAGCCAAGCGTGATTAGGAACTTCCACTTCGTTCTTAACATTAAGTGCTAAAAGGTTAAAGGATTAAGTACAATTCATATCAGATTCTTCCGTTTACTGAATTCGTACTTGGGTACTCCACAATTTTTATGAAGCGTCCCTCCTCCGTTGGCTTTGTCAGTACCAGGAGCTCGATGTTTTCTTCGCTGCACTCCATAACCAGTAAATCCTCGATGAGAATATTATTTTTTTGGGTGTTTTGGCACAAGTGAATTGTGCGAGTGTAAGGACAAATGTCCAATAAGTGTCCAGAAATAGTAAGAGCGATTCTGAGATAAAAGAAAAGTAATTTTAAAATGACTATGGACACCCTAACGTACATTACATCACTTACATATAGTGCTCCAAGTTAAATATCTGCTTAAGACTGCCAAGGTAAGAAGGCAAATTGATGCGGGTTACATCGTTGGCGGACGCCTTGAAGTTCATCGTGCCTTGATCCCCAGTAATGACCAGGCCTGGGCTAAAATCCAGATCGTTTTGATTATTCTGGGTACTGATGTTGGCAGACACCAGTTGCTTGAGCAGTACGGCACAGTCAACGTTGGCCGATGATCGCCCCTTGGAAAGGCGCTGAATTGTGACATCTTCGAGAATGGCCTTCTCACAGGCAATGGTTTCGTTTTCATTTAGGGTGACATTGCATATAGACTCTAAGTTGGTTTCATCCAGGTCGCTTAAACTATAAAATATTTAATTAACAATCTTCTTCTGAGATCTAATCGATCTAATCGCTCTTAACGAAGATTTTCATATATCTTTTTTATTTTAATTATTCATATTGCTCCCAATTAAACTGGATGATACGTCTTGGTAAACCGCTTTATGCTTTTTCCGCTTCCACTTAATGTGGATTTCTTACCTGTATATGCTACCATTCTTGCAGGTGAAGTAAAAGCGCTGATCCAACTGGTGAATGCTTCGGAAGGTACCGCCCGAAATGCTCACGTCCTCCAGATTGACGGCCACGCTGAAGAGGAGCAGTCCCTTTATAAAAACCCCGTGAACTTCGCCATCACTAAGGCCACAAACGATCAGGTTTCCACTGGTGGAAATTGCAATAGCCTCTATGGTGGCCCCAAATCCCAGAAAGCTGCACTTGGCCACCAGTTCGTCCTCCAGAAGAAGCAGGCTTTTGTCAATGCCAATGACCATCTTGCCACTTTGCACGGAGGCCAAGACATCCGGATATTTGTTTACCTTGCAAGAAAGCAAGAGGAGATAGGAACTATAACTGTAATTTGTCACAATTTGGACTTACTTCCTCTTCGCTGCTGATTTGGAAAATGCCCCGCGATGAAAACACATTGGAGATGGTCTCGTCCTCCACGGAGGACGCTTCAAAGTTGCTCCACATTGCTCTTAAATCCCTTCTTTTTTGTGCTGCGAAATCCGCCAAGTTTAAAATCTTTTCTTAAACACCGCCAATAAACAAGCGTCATCTGAGTGTTTACCGATAACTATTCCTGTCTATCGATAGACGATTGGTCTTTGAAAGAAAATAAATTAAATCGTGTTAATCTAACTAATTTGGGTAATGTAATTAATTAGCTATTTTAATGTTCTAAAGTAGTTACATCAAATATAATCCGTTCAAATTGATTACCATATAAGTAGGCCGCCTCGTGTTGTCCGCTCTGGTCACACTTTTATAGCCGCTGGAATTCCGGCATTTTGCATGACGTTGCCAAACGGTCTCACTGGCGGACTTGCGATGAAAATTATTTATATTTCGCTTCTTCTCACGCAAAAATTGGTCAAAATAAACAAAGGTTAATGTGCTGCTGCTGAATAACGGTACAGTGGTCAGTCCGCCGGACCGCCGAATGCGCGTAACGGTAAACCGTGCAAGTGCCGCTCCGAAAAACGGCGCTAATTAATAGTGGATGCTGCAGCGGCCATCAAATCAACAAAAAGCCAACAGAAGACGCAGTCAGGATTTTAAACTTAGTAAAGCAAACATATTTTCGCCTAGCGAATAACCGCCGGTTGTTTTGTTCTTCAATTAAATGTAATTGTAAAGTAACCTCCGTAAACAAACAACAGTTAAACCCTGCACTGCAATTAAAACGGAACTGGAAACGCAGCGGAGGACATAAAATAGCTGGCAAGAAGAAGAGTGCTGACCATAAAGCGCCTTTTAAAGGTTAAATAAGCGAAGTCAGTGTTCATTTCGTGTGCATAGTGCTAAATATAAGTAAATCGAGTTAAAGTGATTAAAAATACAGTAAAAATCCAGCGGCGGCAGGTGCTTGGCGCTTTTGAAACGAGACAACACGACGCTGGGTTTCCAGCGTAGAGTTGCCAACCCGAAAAAGCAACGGGGTTGCCGTTCATTGCGCCGAAAGTGTTTACCTGGTTTTCTAGAGCCAGTTGTTCAAAGGAGCCTAAAATTATTAAGAATCCTGGCCAGGAGATGACTTGGTGAGTAGGTGGTCGAACGCAAAGGACGCCAGATGCTTATTTGGTCCCATTTATATTCCCAGGAAATCAAACTTCGGGAGGTCACAGGCCGGATAACCGGCAAAAAGCCTACACCCACCGAATAAAATCCTCTATTAGATCAACAAGGGCTTTAGGAGAGTGTCCGCTTTTAAGAACTACACACTTCAGAAACCCACTCCTTCACCAGCGTCGAGATCTCCTGTGTGGGATTGGCGACGCCGTTAAAACCGAATTTCTTGCCCCACGCCGTTGAAGAAAAACTGCCACCATTCGGAAGAAGAATACCTCGAATATGACCCACAATCTCGGTATGGCGCCATATCGATTGCCGGGTCCAGCGGGAGGACTGTGTCCGCCCGACTTTAAGCCACCGCCTCCGACGGACATCATCTCGGCGCCGAGCAATCCGAAAAAGCGGCGGAAAACATCTAATGCTGCTAACTCCGCTGCTGCGGTGGCTGCCGCGGCAGCTGCTGCAGCAGCTGCAGCGAATTCCATGCAACAGCAGGCACCTCCTACACCGCAGGACCTGCTTCCACCTCCACCCATGGGAGGTTTTGGAGACACCATTATTGCCTCGAATCCTTTCGATGACAGTCCCCAGGTATCGGCGATGTCTAGCTCAGCGGCAGCGGCGATGGCGGCAATGAATCAGATGAGTGGTGGTCCGGGCGGAGGTCACTTTGGCGGAGGGGGACCGGGTGGTCATCCTCACTGGGAAGACCGTATGGGAATGGGCGGTGGACCGCCTCCTCCGCCGCACATGCACCCGCACATGCACCCACATCACCCTGGCGGACCGATGGGTCATCCCCATGGGCCGCATCCGCACATGGGTGGTCCACCTCCTATGCGCGGCATGAGTCCCATGCATCCTCATCAAATGGGTCCGGGACCAGGAGTCGGATTACCACCACACATGAATCACGGGAGGCCTGGAGGACCTGGTGGCCCTGGAGGACCTGTCCCAATGGGTAGTCCTATGGGAGGAATGACTGGGATGGGCGGCATGAGCCCCATGGGTGGAATGGGCGGCCCAAGCATATCACCGCATCACATGGGCATGGGCGGCTTGTCTCCTATGGGTGGCGGTCCCAACGGACCGAATCCGCGAGCCATGCAGGGTTCTCCGATGGGCGGTCCTGGCCAGAACTCACCGATGAACTCACTGCCAATGGGCTCGCCCATGGGCAATCCGATTGGCAGCCCATTAGGACCGCCATCGGGGCCGGGACCCGGAAATCCTGGCAATCCCGGTGGACCACAACAGCAACAACAACAACCTCCTCAGCCACCGATGAACAATGGGCAAATGGGCCCACCACCTTTACATAGTCCGTTGGGTAATGGACCCACGGGGCATGGCAGTCATATGCCCGGAGGACCTATCCCAGGACCAGGCCCTGGGCCCGGCAGCCTTGTTGGTCCCGGTGGCATATCTCCTGCGCACGGAAACAATCCTGGAGGTCCTGGAAACAACATGCTCGGCGGCAACCCCAGCAGTGGCAACAATAACAACGGAAGCAATACAAACAACGCCAGCAACAACAATCAAAATCCTCACCTCTCGCCGGCAGCCGGTCGCTTGGGAGTTCCCACGTCGATGCAGTCGAATGGACCCTCGGTATCTTCGGTGGCCTCTTCTTCGATACCCTCGCCCGCCACGCCTACGCTCACGCCCACGTCGACGGCTACGTCGATGTCCACGTCAGTGCCTACATCCTCGCCAGCGCCGCCAGCCATGTCACCGCATCACTCGTTGAATAGCGCTGGGCCAAGTCCGGGTATGCCGAACTCCGGACCCAGTCCGCTGCAGTCGCCAGCCGGACCCAATGGTCCGAATAACAACAGCAATAACAACAACAACGGACCCATGATGGGCCAGATGAACCCGAACGCAGTTCCTATGCAGCATCAGCAGCACATGGGCGGCGCCCCACCTGGCCACGGACCACTGCCCGGAATGGGGATGAACCAGATGCTTCCGCCTCAGCAGCCCTCGCATCTTGGCCCTCCGCATCCACAGCTGATGAACCACCCGCATCCTCATCCGCACCACCATCCCGGCGGTCCACCTCATCACATGATGGGTGGTCCCGGTATGCACGGTGGACCTGGAGGAATTCCGCCTCACATGGGTGGTGGACCAAATCCGCACATGATGGGAGGACCTCACGGTAATGCAGGTCCACACATGGGTCACGGTCATATGGGTGGAGTGCCAGGTCCAGGACCTGGACCCGGTGGTATTAACGGACCCCCGCACCCGCACATGTCTCCGCACCATGGACATCCGCACCACCACCATAATCCGATGGGCGGTCCCGGACCGAATATGTTCGGAGCTGGTGGAGGCGGACCCATGGGCCCCGGCGGACCGATGGGTAACATGGGACCCATGGGCGGAGGACCGATGGGCGGCCCAATGGGAGTGGGGCCCAAACCGATGACAATGGGAGGTGGAAAGATGTATCCCCCTGGTCAGCCAATGGTCTTCAATCCACAGAATCCGAATGCGCCGCCCATTTATCCGTGTGGCATGTGCCACAAGGAGGTTAACGACAACGATGAGGCCGTGTTCTGTGAATCCGGTTGTAACTTCTTCTTTCACAGGTAGCTTTCGACTAAAGTATAATGAAGTAAATTTTGTTATTATCGTGGTATAATTTTGCAGAACATGTGTGGGCCTGACAGAGGCAGCCTTCCAAATGCTCAACAAGGAAGTTTTTGCTGAGTGGTGTTGCGACAAGTGTGTGTCTTCCAAGCATATTCCCATGGTCAAGTTCAAGTGTTGAAGCGGGCAAGAATCGGCATCAGCGGAATCAATCGATCTACATCCAACAAGAGCAACCGCACCAGCTAGCACTCACTCACTGTATAAAATATCCAAGCATTAACTCTATCTTAATTGTAAGACTTAAGCTGCTCAATAGTCACAACCCCGACCGATCCTGAGACCCACCAGTCCCCCTGCCGGAAATGGAAACCCGTAACCAATAAGCGACCCACTAAGTGCCGGAGCAGTGTTGTGACTTTCAGCTCCGGGCTCCTGGCTCACTCGCGACTTCCTTCTGAAAGAATTAAGCAAAGCAAACCTTAACGAAAAGTGTAAACGAAATATGTTAATTGTAAAATAATTGTAATATGTATGTATGTCTGCATGTGGTGTAATCAAACAGGACAAAGCCCCGAACGAAGATCTAGTTTGTATTATAAAGAGAAATTGGATGAAATTATTGAGCGATAAAGGCGGGATGATGTACGTCTGCATTCGATTACCTTTCGTCTGACAAGAAATCCACAGAAAACAACAGACAACCACTCTAAACTATATAAACATATATCTAATGACATATTCAACACATTTGAGGATGAGTAAAGAAATTGTAACGAAATGAAATTATCATTGTGAAATTGCTGCAAACTGCGTGAGTGTGTTATTTGTTATTACAAACCTATATTATTTTTATACTTGTGTGCGTTTACATTTTAAATAATTAATACGTAAAAGTGGCTCGATGGATAGAGCGGCGATCATCGGAGACATTTTACATGAAAATATTCAGTATAGCAAGAATCGGAGGAGGTAAAATGATGAATAGATTGCGAACAAAAGCACAAGAAAATAAAAAATTCATGCGAGAGAGTTAAATTTGTAATTTAAGACAAATGTTGAAAACGCAGCGAAAGTAAACGATTTAAAAGCAAACAAAAATTGTAAAAATAGGAAAAACAGAAGTACTCTAGGTTACACCAACTCTAAGTTATTTATAATTAAATAAAATACAATATAAAATAAATTAATACCGAGTTCTTGGAGGTACCGCTCGTATTGATTCTGAAATCAATATAAAATCATAAAGCTTACATTCCTTAAGTCACTTGCATAAGAAAACGCCTTAAAATCCGGTTGCATTGCATATACATGTTTTTTTTTATTATTTATTTTGTTTCCATACTTAATCTAAATGCACAGGCTAATCGGGGCATAATAAACATATACATTACTTATTAAAGGATGCATCGCTGGAGCCACATCAACTTTCTGGAAAGGGGCATTAACAATACTCAGTGATGCACATGCCGAATTGTGGACAGAGTTATAGAGACAGTCACTTAAAGGTACAAATTATATTTTTGATTAAGTGTAGCTTTCTGTTTAGTTGGTTGGAGTTTAGATTATGTTGACAGCACGCAGGAACCAGACTATATTCCTGCATGGCTCGCTGTCTTATCCGATGGCCGCCGTTATGAGCTCCGCCACATCCTGATCGGTGCTGCGCACGGTCAGATTCAACGTGACGCCCTCGGAAAGCGCCAGCTTGGCCCGAACCAGGACCTCGGCACCGCCCCTGAAGGTTCCTGAAATGGAGCAAATAATTTTGTGACATATATAGTGACACCGTAAAATAATGTGGCTCTTACCAGAACAGAGCAAAGTATGCAGATGTGTACCCTCAGGAACCTTTTCAGAAAGGTTTGCAGCCCCCAACCCAAGTATTTTTATTATGGTGTTCACCGCATCCTGCAGGGTGGTCACTGCCGAAAGCACGAAGGTGTCCTCAGCTTGCAACCATTCTGAAAAGGGGAAATATAGAATTATCCCAGTTAGTTAATACACCTTCTATCGCACCTTCGCTATCGGCCGCATCCCAGGACACCTGGAAATTGTTTTTCTTGGTTTTCTGTATCTGATCGGCAACAGTGAGCTCCAGATCTTCCAGCATATACTCATCGTCATAGCCATCATCGGAATCTGGTTCACCCGTGTTGGGGTCGCAATCCTTGACCACAAATCGCAAAGTGGCACCAAAGGTGGCTGAAATTAAAGTGAAAATGTTAAATGATTTTTTTTTGTGGTGCTGCAATAAAAATTCTATTACCTATTGAACTGGCAGCGTCGGGTGGGAATTCCACGATGACGAACGTGGTTTGCAGGTCGTTGTAGGGCAACTTTGGACATGGAATGACCGCCCTGGTCGTGAATCCCTCCGGCAGCGTTAGTTCGACTCGAACATTCTCCAGGAATTGATCGGACAGAGTGTTCAAGCAATCGAACTGGAAGACCACGTGTTGGCCGAAAATGTGTTTGATGCACTGAACGGTGTACTCCGTTTCGCTTTCTGTCAACTGAATAGGAGCCGTGCTGCGATGAATAGGTCCCAGCACCTGGATACCCGGAAGCTGGGCTAAGCGTGCGGCGCTCTCCTCCTCGCGAGTGATCTTCGGGGGTCTTGGGGCACTATTGGTTACCAGCATAACATCATTGGCAATTACCGGCTTAATGATAGCCGCCTTGGGTACAACGGAAATATCGAAGGAAGTCTCTAGGTCGCCATTCAAATGGTCGACCAGCGACTTCTCCAATAGAGCCAATGAACAATTCTCACGCTCGATAATATAATTCTTGTAGAGCTCAGGCCTCTCCGAGTTTAAGATGCTCAGGTAATAGGTAGCCCTGTCCCGTACTTCGTCATCCGGATCCATCTGACAACGACCCAGCAGGACGAGAATATTTGTCAACAAAGCCGGACAAGAGGCTCCAAACTGCGCCATCGCCGTCACAGCGGCTGCTCGCACAATAGGACTCTCCAGAATCACGCGGTTGTAGATAAAACGTATGTACTTGGAGGGCGTGGCTGCAAAGGGTCCTTCTTTGCCAAGCAAGTGAAGAATCCTCACGGCCAGCGAAACGTGCTCGCAGTCCTCGATAAACTCGCACAAATGGGACAGGCCGGACTCCTTGGCATCTGCATTCTCCTCGATGATTGTGATAATGGTGTCGACAATGGACGTTTTATACTCCAGGCCGCCCTCCTCGCGTAGCATTCCGCTGAGGAAGTTCATCAGAACCGTGTGCTTTCGTGGATACTTGGTGCACAGGGCGCATATAGCCTGAACTACCACAACCTTGAACTCGTCTGAGATCTCGGCCACAAACGTAGAGATCTGCTTCATCAAGCGTTCCACCGAGGATTCGGCTCCGGTCTTCAGCAGAGTGGTGATGGCCAGTGTCGCTACCGATCGATTGGAGTCGGTGATAAGGCCCTCCAGGTCGAGGTTGCAGGTGGTCACCGCTGCCGGATGTGTCATGGCCACCTTGTTAAGCGTACGCACAGCCGCAAAACGCAACGTGGCCTTTGGCGAGCTGCAGAATAGCTGGAGGATGGAGAATGCCGGCGACAGCATTCGTGGATTGGTGTTCTTTAGGTTGACAATAGCGTGCGCTGCTTCGTAGATAACCATCTCGCTCTTGTGGCGAAGACAAGACTCGATGAATGTGAATAAAGGCGAATCGGACAGTTCCTCGGAGGAAATGTCCTCTTCTTCGATCAACTTGCAGGCAATCCGTATCTAAGAGAAGCAGATAACACTTGGTTTAGAGGAACGTTGAAAAAACGGATATGGATTGAAGTCAATCTTTGTTAATTTAAGTTTCTGATCATTAATATTTAATTTAAACAAAATATAAGTGAAGTTCACTTACCAGCATGCACACAGCATATGGACTTTTTAGAGAACCCCTTGTCAACTTGTTTACCAACTTGGAAACGGCCAGCCGATCCGATTTACGGATGTGGTACAGCAGTCCCAATGCGTGGTATTGGACCATAATGTTATCGCTGTTTAATGCCTCCTGGGCTTCGTTGGCCCACCTCTTAACTACGTCGCCGGCGGTGCTGGCCAATCTCAACGAGCTCACCAAGGCGGCACAAGAAACCGCCGCGTTCTTGTCCACGATGCACTGCTTCATGTACCGCTCCACAGCTTGTAACATAGTGTTGTCCGTGATGCTGCACAAAGCTCGAATGGCAGCGGCTCTGTAAAGATCCTCCTTCCCAGTCATGTCCTTCGTGAGCGAGCTGGTTACGATGATCACGTCCTCGGCAATGGAGCTCAAGCTCCTTAATGCCTAAGTACACCATGCGACGGAGTACCACGTCCTTGGATTGGAAGAGCTTTGTCATCGCAAAGAAGCAGTCCGTGGCCTCACGGGCCACCAGCTGTTCCCCCTGATTAATCAGATAGAGGATCTTTGTCAGGATGTGGATGCACTTCCTAGCGTTCACCGGCGTCTCATTGAAGGTGCGAGTCTCTTGGAGCACCGATGTCTTCTCCAGATTTTGATAAGCATTGCTCGGTCCTGCTGGGGAATCGTAGATTTGTTTTTTGTTTGAGGTAAGGGTAAAATAGTTCATATTCTCAGTAAATTTAAGGGAAAACTCGATTTTTTTTTTTGTCGGGGCTAGTGGGTGTGTGTGAGTGTGTGTCTGTGCCAGCGGAGCACCCTCCAGCAACTGGGTATTAACCGATAATTTCGCTGGTAGGCGGATAATGTGGATCCACGAGTTAAGTAGCTACTTACCATCCTCTTCCTCGTCTTTATCGCGGCGAAACGAACCCATTATCGTGGAACTCTCGGTTAAATTGTGGTTAAAAACAATTGAAATGGTTTTCTGGCTGCGCTTACACGTCACTCAGCGGTGCCCAGTTGGTTCATCTGTTATCGGTTTGAATACTTAAGTCGACTATCGATGTCACCGATGTTTTTTTTTTTTATTATTATTACCTTTTTACTTTACTTTCTTTTTTACTTTTAATCGTGAAGACTATAAGAGCACCTCAAAGCCATTATTCTTTGCTGTATTACATTTTTCTATTACTTTCGTTTAATCATAACGGAACTGATTGCTGCATTGGTTCCGGGACCGGTTCGATTATATCTATCGATAAATTATTGCTAGTCTATACGCAATGTAAGCGGGAAGCTTTGAATTTCTCAGCAAAGTTTTAGGCTATGATCAGTTTTAAGGTTAACATTTTTTTAAGTATCAGTTTTCTTTCTATTTTAGATAACTATATTATTAATCATATTATTTTTGGTTGCGCAGATAAAATTTGTGGACATTTTACTTGCTACTTAAAGGCAGTGAATTTAATTATCAAGTTTGCATTTTTACTTGGCAGTGGCTTAATTTCTATAACACAATATTAACAAACATTTTATTTGAAAGTAATTAAATGCAATCACTGCTTTGTTCCTCTCAGCCCTTTGAGGAGAAAGTTTTCTGATGGGGTCGACCGATAGGCCAGGCAGGTCAAATTAATCGACGATCCTGATTTTCAGATAGACATAGCTTTTATGTCACCGCTAGATTTGTTTACCAATTGGTCCGCGATTTGATTAGTGTTTATTTAATATAAGCGTGCATAAGTACCGCCAATTAGTGAAAACAAGAAAACCATTATATTGAATTGTCAATATCCGGCGCGCGGCAAGTGCCGTTAATTGCATTTTACATACCGCGGGGAAATTCCAGCGCACAAAACAACAACTTCATTGCGTGTCCACCAGGAGAGGACCTCCGCAAAAAACGCGAAAAGATCGAGACACCTACAGCATGAATTTATGGCCAACCGATAAGCGCCGGCCAAAAGGAAAATCCGATGCCCAAAATTGGACAAGGAACGTGTGCGTCGAACGACCAGGCAGAATTTAGTAGCTGTCAAAGGCATCAGCTGTGCCCCTGGAAACACCTACAAAGCCACGAAACCCCAAAGCCACAGTCAGGTAAATCTAAAGTTAAAGCCAAGTTGGAGCCATCTTAAGGCCAAAGTCGGAGCAAAAGTTGAGGACGGCGCACGCAAGGAGTAATATGCCACAGGTGAGTTGAAGTTTGAGGTGCCAGCATACAGTAAAACCTCAGTTTGTATGATGCTGAAACCCTATATCATAGTATATTGGTAAATTTTCTATTCTAACCTCAAAAAATCCACATGATCTATCAATGTTTATGTAAATACGCTGAATTGCCACGTGATTAAGTTTTTCAAAATAAGGTGAAACAAGATTGGGTTTAGTTAGTTACCACTTGCCTTACAGAAATGTTTTGAATTGCAAGGTCACATCCAGAAAAACATATCAAAATGTTATAATGTTATAAAAAGTTAAAAGCTTAACAAGTATTTACCTGGCTTCGTAGCCATTCCAGACTGTAATCACCAGTTGCCTTTGCGTGCAAATGGCGAAGAATGCGGGCGGGGATCGGATACCTTGGGACTTGTGTTGTTTTCAGCCGGCAGTAGAGATCCCGATCCGCTGGTGGCCTGTGACTCTATAAGGCTGATGCTGTCAGTTGCTGTTGGCCCGAGTCATTGGCAGCTTTATTGCCAAACGGCGTGTGTGTGGGCCAACCTGCATACCGATCATAAATATGAATATGAATCTCGAAGGCACTTGAATTCGTTAGTCTGCCTAGTGCGAAAGATGCAAAACGGTTGCGGGTTCGGATTCCAGGTCGAAATCCTCCTCGCAACCTGGCCAACAACTTCACCGGTGTGCTAACAAGATGGCAACACATGAAATTAGACTGCGCCGATGCACGTCCAGCGATAGAAGAAGAACGAACTGATCGTGCCTAGAAAAACGGGCAACGGCAGGAACAACAGACTAATTAACATATTCAAATATTTGTCGCATTGTTTCGCCAGTTTCCCAGCTCAGCTCCATCTTGCAGTTCCTCCGTTCTTGTCGGGTTTATTGAAAAACCATTTTACGGTTTCATGCTTGAAAGTCATTGCCAACTGACCACGCCCCATCCCGAGCCCAAAACATGGACCTGGTGCATCTTCTTGGCTGTTTGTGCACTGTAGACCCCTTGGCGCTATTTTTATCGCATTTTAAAAGGCTATTTGTAGTGGTTCCACCAGGAAGTGGCATAAATTCACAGCGCATAATGGCTGTGAATAAATTATTTTGCCGCAGCTTCCTCTCGCCCATTGATTGGCTGATAAGAGCCATCCTCCGACTGCAGACTCATCCATTGAAATGGCCAAAAGAGCCAGCCGGAGAGGAAACCCGAAACAGATGCTGCAAACAATGCACTGGTTACGTAATCACTTACCGCGATTCTTGTCCTGCAACGTGAGAGAGGCCAGCCGGCGGCCTTCCTTGTGCACTCGAGCAATTTTCACGCACGCCCCCAACCGGCCAACCTTCTTCCTAAACTTCTTTCCCCCCAGGAACCAGGCTCAAACCAAGCCCAAAAAAGTTAAATAAAAAGGCATTGAATACGCAGCCATCGCATGCGGAAAGCAAAAGTCCCACAGTCCGTTAGGCGGAAGCTAAGGCCAAGAACCGAATGCCAGCCGAAAGATTTGGCTTTAATTAAATTTATAGGGGTATGCCTGCGATGAGAAGGTTCTTAAGAATTGGTTTTCCTTCAAGATGGGATGTGAAACTAAGAATTGATTAATGTAATTAGGTTGCTGATACCTTACGTGTTTTCTATTAGTATGTAAATGTAATAAAATACTTCGCTTGTAATGGCTTTCATAAATTTAGAAGATGTAAGTGAGTACTTTCAATTAGAAGCCTTGAAATTATTAGCACGAACACTGATTTAAATGTAATTAATCCTGAGCATTGGTGCGCATAATGAAGAAAGCTCTAAAAGTGCCACAAAGAAATTATTAGGTTTTTATATGTATTAGTAATTGGTTATGCATTTGATATATGCGGTCTTGAATTTGTTTTAGGACATTAAGTGCTTCTATATTATTATTTACCACTTCATTATCTCTGTTAGACTTTTTCCCCGAATGGCTTTTCAATTTAAAGACGCTTTCTCCACATATTTTTAGCATTCTACTTTACCTATTAACCCAGTCACAGGATTTCAGGCCGCACTAGCACCTATCGTTTAATGAGTTTAACATAAAAATATATAGCCGTTCATAGCCCGTAAAGTAAATCATAAATATTTGCATAACTTGTCTTTGGCCTGAGAAAATCCAGCGGATAAACCACCATTATAGGTCGTTAAGTTAAGAGATATGCTCGTAAACATGTGCTAATCATCTTTATGTAAGAGAGTTTTCCTTTTGCCGACGGGCAGTCAGAGTTCAGCCACTGAAGAGAAATGGAATGACCCTTCAGGTAATTGCAATTGCCCAAGATTCTTCAGATATAGAATTATTAATTGTTTTTTGCCAGTCTTCAACGGTACTGAACCATTTCTCTAATTTCTAATGGCTTTCCACCGCGGACCGCCACAAACGGTTGTCTGTCTAGAGTTTGGATCGTTCCTGGTCAATGTCCTTAGCCATTTCGGTTTTGTTTTCTTTTGGAAGCGGCCTTACCTTGCATGCGCATTGCGCGCACGACGCGTCAGTTCCTCCAGCTCCTCCGGCTCCTCCTCCGAGTTGGCCAACCAGATGTTATCCCGGTAGTGACCCCAGAGCAGGGCCATAAATTCTCACAGTATTGCCTACTACACGCCTGCGCCTCTGCAAATGTTCCAATTTGTATTTTTGCACAAATTGTTGTGGCCGCTGTGGCATCTTCTGCTTTTCCTGGTGATCTCGGTGCTGGCTGCTTCGCTTGTTTGTTTTCGGCTGCATTTAATTTAATTTGGCCTGCCCAATTGGGCTGAACCGCAATTAGAGACAAATGTTTTCGGCTGCATTCCATCGGCTACTTAGCCCCCATGTTCGTGGCAATTAGCATTAGCCTGTGGGATACTCAAGCCTCGAGGACATGGGCGTGTTTTTCTGGGGCGAGGAAAGTTATCTCCCCGGCCAGTTTCCCACACGTTTGTTTGCTTAATTAGGTGAAAACTGGCTAACAGGGACAGCTGTTTGCCATGCCGGGCAATTGCTAATGAGCAGGACAAGCTGAAGGAGTTGGCGAAATGAAAAGTAACAAGCTACCGTCCTCGCTTTCAGGCTCTTGCAAACTTGCAATCGGAACATGGTAAACGGGAAAACGGGTAAACGTTTGCCACTCGTCGTTTCAAGTGCTAAATTCCAACTTTTGTCAGTCTGTCTTGATGCACTTACAAGCAAGTTGGGTATTTCGATCTGGCCAGGGAAAGTATTTCACAGTTTTTTGGTACCAAAAACCTTAACTCGCCATTCAAGATCAAAGAATTTTCTCTTACTGACATCTCAGGTTGGTTACCAAATTTTCTGATTTCTTTAAGGAAGAGTATTTGGAAATTTCACTTGGCAGATGGATTTGGATCTCTGGTCTTTGGCTCATCGGTGGGTTTTCCTTTTTATCCCCGATTTCTTATTTCTTTGCTTACTCGTATTGGCGAAATTTGGAGGTGCCCATTGCCATGGCAAGTGCATAATTTTTCAATCAAAGCAAGCAGCTGTAAAGCAAACAAAAGCAGAGGCCAAGAGGCAGAAATCGTGAGCAGGCCAACATGGCAAGAAAAGAAAAGAAAAACCGAATGGGAAAAGGAAATGCTGCAAACGAGATCTTCACCTCATCCAATGCGAGGCCCAATCCCAATCCCAATCCGAATCCGAGTCCCAATCCCAAACCAAGCCAAGCCAAGCCAAATGGCAATTTCATTTAAATGCAAATGACCACGAAGCGTGAGGGTGTTCAATTCGAACTTTATGTATGGAAATTGGCAAAATGCGAGCAAGCGTTTTCCTCAATGGTCAAAGTGTCAAAGTGGCAACGAGTGTAGGTGTCGCCACACCATTGTCTCTGGAATTCCAGCCCATCCTGGCTAGGTTCTGGACCGTCCCGATCCGGGCCAGGTCAAAGTCAGGCCGCTAATTAAAAGCCATCGCTAACAGTCAACGACTTAATGGTCAGCCATTTGCATAGCTGTCAACGCCAATAAGCCCACACTTGGACACGTTCTCTAGGCTTGCTTAAAGGTGGGAAAATCCAAAAGCGAAAAGCTCACGCAGAGCTGGTCCACTGGACAACGCCTGCTCTGCTGCCGCATCGCCATTCCAACTCCATCTCGAAACTCCATAACCATAGTCCAAGCCAAATACGCAGCAGAACCGGCCATAAAAATTGTCAACGCGTGGCTTTGATGGCTTACACTTGGGCATTGGAAAGGTACATTCACTTTTAAAACTGATTTTATCGTAAACCATGAGCAGGAAATTATATGCCACAAAATCAATAGTCTGTATGTACTTCTTCTTAAGAACAATTCCATTATAGGACTAGCAAGGTTTACTTAACGAAGCCTCAGCTCAGAGTACCCCGCATTCGGTTAGCCAAAAAGGTTTCAATTAGCTGCAGCTAATAGGGGCGTTTTATTCAACACGGGGCACGAAGCACATGCGTAACTCACACCTTTCAAGTGACAGAGGGGCGCGACGGGAGGTATCTGCGCCGTGAGAAGGAGACGAGACCCAGCTTGTGGAGACAGTGGAAGACATCTTCATTCAGCGAGGCGGCACACGTCTCGAACGATACTCGGCTTTTCGCACATTTCAATTTCATCGTGATCATGATTAATTGACGCCTTCAGTGGCTCAGACTTTTCGATGTGCCGCAGAGTATATCATAGGACTGAAGTCGAGATTCGAGAACGGCTATAATGGCGTGCGTAGCTGGAGCGTTAAAGAGATCGTAACACGCCTGGTTAAGCTCGCTGCCATGCCGGCTCTTAATTTGATTAACACTTTTGTCGACCAAGCCCCCAACTGGAAGATACTCGTAAGCCGCATCTGTTTGCCCTGCTCAAAGTGCCGTGAAATCATCATAATTTCTTCGGTTGTCTTTCGCTTTGACAAACATCAATTTGGCTAAGCGGCTCCCCGAGTTTTGTCAGTGGAATGTTAATGAGAAAGGTCTGGGTTTTGGGGTTTCATTAATCTAAGCGTTAATAAATTTCGACATGCCTACCTAGCCACCGTAATTAATCTATTAAGTTCCCGGCCTTTCCAGTATGTGATTTCACTCACTGAATTAAAAGAGCACCCAGAGTTATTTTAAGACATTTATTTATAAATATATTTATTTAGGCGTATATTTATTGCTTTACTTAATCAGTACAATTCGTTTATCAAATTTCCGTTTATCGATTCTCCCTTCTTCTCGAGATGAGTTAGTCTCTCCGAAGTCTCTAATAATTAGCACCGCCTTGCGTTTCGGCTAATAAATAATATAAATTAAGATCAGCAAATAAATAGTGGGGTAATATTTTGGATTGAGGGGCCTCGAAAATTTTGACTGCCGCCTTGCACAGAAGCCTGGCGCAAAACATTTTGATACAAAATTATTTGGCAAACTTTGTGGGACAATTATCAGCAGCTCAGCAGCTCAATAGTTAATAATAAATAGTAAATTAGTTATAAATGCAATTCGCTCGAGGACATGAAGCAGAGTTTTCACTAAACATATAATTAGCCTAACTTTCGATGAAGTGGAGTAGATTTGTGGTTCCTTTCTTGGCAATGCGCAGGTTTAAAATGTTGGAGATGCGTTTCCAGGCCATTAAAAAGCGCGCATTCTTGAGAGATATTCGTATCGTAAAAAAAATGAGTCAAAACTCTATGTGTAAACTAATTTTAGGCTTAGTCTAGGCTGGATTAATCTAGGGTTTCCAATGATTTTCATGTGTCGCGGCTAGGCGAATATTTTCTATTCAAGTCTCATCGAATCTTTTGAAGCTTTCGAGGCATATTGCGTTTGTTCCCAGCTAAGTGTTCCCAGCTAACTGCGAGAGCCACCCAGATCTCCCCTAGAACTGCTGTCCGTAGCGTCCGTTGATGCCGCTGTCGTAGAGCTTGCTCAGCGTGTCCTTGGCGCTGCCTCCGTAAGACGCTCCTGAGGACGAGGATCCGGCGGAGGAGTTGGGTGGTGGTCCGTACAGCATAGTGGGCGCTCCGTAGGTGATGGTGGGCGTGGGTTCATGCTGGTATAGGTAGCGTTCCTTGCTGGTGCGTCGCTGCACGGTCTTCCAGATACCGAAGATGCTCAACTGGGCCAGCAGGAAGAGGGCTCCGGCCAGGATTAGACCTGCAAAAGAGTAAAGAAATAAAGATTCATCAAAATCCATTGCAATTATATCTACACTCCCAAGAAAATAGGGCAATTGAATCTTTAATCTTGTTTTAGGCTTTTCCTTTTGATAAATCAACAACCTTAAAACTAGAAGTCGCCCTGGATTGTGTTCTCGAGCAATTTAAAAAGGGAAGTCGACCTGTTATCGCCATAAATCAAGTGAATTATCTCGAGTAACTGATCTAGTTCGAAAAGTTTCGTTGGAAACTGGTTGTGGGCCGGCAGAAGTATCGATAAGATCGCCTCAATGGGCGGAAAAGAGGAGCAATAAAGGCCAGAAGTGACCCCAGATCGGTTTGGTTATCACAGAAAACAAAAGTGGGCGCCACTTAACCCACTTTGCCACGAACTGAAACCAAGCCAGAGAAGCGAACAGAGCGAAGAATATAGCTCCAAGGCCCCAAGACGCAAAGTGACCAAGTGACCAAGTTTGACAGCAACAAGTTGAAGATAAACAAAAACAATGAGAAATAAAACAGCGACAATTTAATGCATGAGTTGCATATTTTGGCACGGACTCGGACTCGAACTCGTACTCGGACTCGGACTGGAGCTGGCTTCACTTTCTATACCCTAGACATCGCATGTTGCCCCGTTGGCCTGGGTTCTTAAGAGTGCAACATGCCACATAAATAAGCCCGGACCTCGACGGAGGAAATTCGAAATACCGAAGCCGGTAGAAATCGGGTGAAAGTGCCGCCAAAGTCAAAGTCAAAGTCAAAGTAGAGCTGCAGTGCTCAGGTTACATGCGTTGTTGCCTCTGCTGTTTTTGTCCAGTTCACGAAATCAGAATTTAAGAGCAACAGCGACGACGACATGCCAGATGACTATCAGAGATTACTCTGTAACAATGTTGTGGTTGTTCGTTCCTCAAATGACCATAAAAAGTAAGCCCAAAAACAAATCAACAAACAAGCCAAGAGCCACAACATCGTCGTCATCATCATCATCATGGCTATGACTCGAATGAGTTTCAATAACAAAGTGCACGCACTCGAGACTTTTATTTATGTTTCTGACTCCGGTTTTCCATCGCAGCAAGAAGACCACAATAACAGTAACAAAAGAGGGAAAAACGAAAATACACAAAATTATAACAATTACTATAAACGGTCCGCGGAGTTGTGGGAGTTTGAGGGGCCAATAAGTGAACTGAGGCGCTTGGCGCTTGGCGCTGAGGCGCCCACAAAATGCTAAGTAATTTGATCCAAGCCCAACCAGAATCAAGGAACTAAGAAAAGCACTGGGAAACTCTTTGAGTAACGAAAGTGAATGCAAGTCTCTTCTGAAAAGTCTCAATTAAAAGGAGGAGCACTATAAATCTAAAGAACCTAAGCCTCTACAAAAATGTCCATTAAGTTCGATCGGAAAACTGCGTAGTAAAGAGGTGATTAACTTGATTAAAGATACCGAGAAAACTCCTAAGGATATGCTAGAAGTGCTCTAGATCATTAAGAACTAATCAGCATTTAAACTTCGCAAAATGAAGGCGAAATGTGGTTTTCTGCGAGTCCTAATCAAGCGTTAATTAGTTTGAAGTATTCTTTAATGACAGACAGGAGCTGCTAGACAACTAAAATGTACGAGAATGTGCTTGGTGCAGCTCGCGATGCTCTGAGAGTTGACTGTCGATTAGTAACGAATGTAAATCAGCATTTACCGATGGGTGTCCGGAAATCTATAAACAAAATTTACTATTTACTTGGACATAAATGAAAAAAATGGTCAATAACCAATAAATTTAGTTAAGACGTCGGCAATGTGAAAAAACATTCAAGCTTGATAGCACCGTTTTGAAGGGTTCTTAAACGTATAGCTTTCGTAATAAAAAATCAATTTGAATTATGTCTCTACAGCACTTAAGTCATTTATTCTAATACCAAACTCCTAAGGTAGCATCTTCTATCAAAGGCAAAAACAAGGAAAAGATGGTAAGCAGATATTAAAAAATTAAGCCTTGGCCAAAACCTCCTAAGAACTACAGGAATTGGAAGAAAGCGAAGAGATTGATCTGCAGTTAAGAGAAAACTTCCCAGCCATTTGAGGTAATGCCTAAAATTAAAGATATGAACTACCGTAAAGTGGCCATTAAAATGATTGGAATAATGGGAGAGATGCATTTCTAAATAAATCTCCGCGCAGAATGTAAAACGCTCATAAGCTTTGACAAATTACAGGGTGTCGTTGATGCGGCGTTAAATTGCCGCTCTGCATGCCAGAGATGAAGGCCAAGACTCATCTCCTCCTGGGTGCACACGCATATCCAAGTTGGCCAGCTGAATTCATAGCAATGTGTGCGGCAAATGAGCTTAAGCACAGGTAGAACCGAACCGCTGCTCTAATTGTTTCAGTTCGCTCGCCTCTGGTCTGGCTTGAAATGCAGCACGTAATTACGACTCAAATGCACGCCTGATGGCTGGTGGTCCACTGGAGTTTCATCTGTCTAACGAGCTGTCAATTTAACGCTTCAACGCGGCTTGGCAATTGCTCTACAAAAGCAGCGACACATGGGAGATGTAGAAGCTCGGGAGTCGGAAAACCCAGCAGCCATCTGGATGGACAACCAACTGTGCAGAAAGATTTTCGCGCCGCACGAAAACGAGGCGTGCAGAATCCTGCTGCACAGCTTCGGATGAACTAGTGACCTGGTCGTGAGCCAGCAGAGACACCAAGAAAGAGCCAGTCCAACATCATAACACAGAACACGTTCTCGAGAACGAAGAACCTAATTTAAGGCCCCTTGCTCAGGTCGGCAATGATGAAAAATTGATTCATTATCAAAATTAGCGAGCCAAGAACAAGCTGAGCGCCTCACGATGCGAGGACGACACGATGTCGTCCAGCTCCAGCTCCAGCTCCTGATCCTCCTGCTTGTCTATGCAAATCAAGCTGGCTGTGATGCGCGCTTGATTGGGCATTTTCACAGAACCCCCGGAAAGAAATATCCAACTTACCATAGCCATTAAGGCAAGTGAGCTTGTCCTGGGCCACGCCCGCATAGGCCTTCTCGTGGGGACCGCTGTCATTTCCATGGGTATTGGTGCCATCCTCTGACTGGAAGCCGAACTTGTCTGTGATTTGTATGGATTGCATGAGCAGTATGTTATCATCCACAGGGCCAACATCACGGCGGTGGCGTGTGCTTAGCAAGAACTCGGCTGCAAAGAAAGGCGAAATGACTCTATAGCAAAGAGGAACATGTATCGAAACTAAGAAGCATTGATCAAAAGATCATTGCAAAAATTAATATTTAAATTATCATCAAGCTACTTACCACCATCAGTTCCGTTCAGCACAGACCGCTTCTTGCGTCCATAGGAAACCAATGACTTCAGCTCTCCACTGGCGCCATCTTCGCTGTCGCAAATCACGGGCTCACAACGAGGAATGCAGGGAGTTACCAGGGCCCGAAACTGGACCACTTCGCTGGAAGGGAACTTGAAGGCGTCGAACTGCGAGAGCAGCACCTTGCGATTGTGAGCCAGCTTCTGGATGGTGCCCATGATGTATTGGTCGGTGGGGCAGCCATTAGCATCGATCAGCGTAATCTCGGCACTGTCTGAACCGTCCATGGCTACCAATTCCCTCACGAAGATCTCGTACGGGCTGTTGGGTTCGACGATCTCGAAGCGCAGGGCCATCGGATCTCCGACCTCGGCAATCCTCTTCATGTCGCTGCCATCACGAGAGGTGATCTTCATGATCACATTGGGCGACTCAATGGTGATCTCTTCGCTCAGGGAAGACTCAATCTCTCCAGTTACTCCCAGGTCGACATCGTTCAGCACTGTCTTGTTGGTCAAATCGTACTGGCAGGACACAGCCAGTCCAAGATCGGAGGAGGTGACAATCATGTCGTGGTGCTGGATCACAATGTCGTTCATATATCTGCCATAAGCACTCTGGCGCACGTTGCACTCCAGATCGTTGTAGCCCATGCGGAAGTCAAACTCCAAGGAGTTGTTCACATTCACGGCGCAGGATTTGGGAGCTCCCTTGGCATAAACCTTGCCGTCGAAAAGCTTGGACGTCCTAATCTTGGTGATCATCTCACCAGAGCGGCATTCAATGGACACATTGTAGCAGGCCGAAAGTTCGTAGGTGGCTGCCTCTGGAACATCCAAGTAGGGATCCATCACATCGGTCAAGGTGGCGCGGCTGTGATGGGACAATCGGCAGACCATGTCCCCAGTGTCGTTGTAGTCGTACGAGTGGCATCTACCCAGGATTAAAGGAGCTGTCAGAAAGGGCACCCAAATTGTGTACTGCAAAAATCTTACCTATAAGGAGAGTTCAGGCAGAGGTCGCGGCACTCATCGATGGTATTGATGTCCTGGTAAACCGAATCCACCGTCTTCAGGATCTTTCCCGAAATCCGTTTGAACTCGCACAGCTTGCTGGGTTCCTCAGCACAGTTGTTCTCCAGATAGTCAGCTCCATCGTAGGGTTCCACACTGCCGCCAGCGGATAGTGTTATACGGTCCATGTCGGACAGCTCGCAGAGGCCCGAGTGGCGGTAGTAGTTGGCCGATCTGAGACGATTGAGCGGTATAGGACGGAAGAGTGAAGGATTGAAAGCGAGTGGAAGAGAGAAGGCGGTACGAAAGGTATTAGGAAAGAGTTGCAAGTTCAAACGAGAGCAATGAGATCAAGTTAAGCCGCTCGAAATCATAAAATATTAGCATTTCGTGTCGATCTATTTACGATTCTTAATAACTAACTAACTAGAGGCTAATCCGACAATCTCTACTAGGATTCACTAGCATTAGCTAACACTCACCGGCATGTGAATTCGGTCTCTCCCAAGCAGAGTTCCAAGCAGTCGCGTCGCGACAGAACCGTCTGACTAGATTTGACGTGCTCCGGGAGGCGATAACCTTGAACGCGATCGATGCACCAGGCCTTCGAGCAAGGACGCACGCCCAAACACGATTTCTGTGCGTAGATGGTGAAAACCGGAAACTGCGAGCGCGAAAGTGAACCTGAAAACGCAGAAAATGAAAAATGAAAAGTGGTAAAAGAGCGGGAAAGGCAACGGCGCTATGCGTATTTTATGCATTTTACGCACACGCCCCTTCACTGCGAAGTAACAGGCGTTGAGAAACAGGCAAAAGCTCCGGCCTTTTGGAGCTGAATCAGCCGAGCCACGACAACTGCATCGACATTCGAGATTCGACTGGGAAGGCTGCAGAAATTATGCGTTACTGTGCCAAAAGCAAAAGCCAGTTTGCCCGCAGAATGGGCAAAAATCTAGTTTGCAGGCCGGGCCAAAAACCGCGTCGTGCGTAAAAGCAAAAGGCGTGTGCAAGTTCGCCTTTTATTTATTTCTGTTTTTCAGCGGACACGCGGGTGATTTATGCCCCCGGGCCACGGCAGCCGATGGCAACCTGCATGAACTAGAACTCAGTAATTGAGTAAATGAATGAATGAACGGCCGAGTGGCTGAGTGGCAGAGTGGCAGAGTGGCGGAGTCGCCTGAATTATTGAGCTTTCTTTGGCACAAAAAAAAAGAAGTTTAAAACAGCGAGCAGTTCGGAATTCTCACACTTTCTAACTCACCTGGCAATTTATCGGCGGTCGTCTTGAACAGCACACACAATCCGGTTTCGTAGTTGACAGCGTTGCAGGACTCGTTATTTTGGCAGGCCTCCAAGCAGTCGGTGAGCATCAGGGTCCCGGGCAAAGTGTCCAGCATTTTTGAGGGGGCCGAAAGCACATAGCTGAAAGGTGAGGAAAGATGATTTATAAATGAGATCGATACTGAGATATCCCAATGATTTGTGGTCCCGGCCTGGCTTTAAGATTCCCAATACGACTGAAAACGAAAGTGGTCGGACATCTGTAGGTAGTCGTAGGTCTGCATTACTGACTTACTAAACAAAAGACTTAGGCAACGAACTTTTGGATTAGTTTCATCCGAAGAGTGTCACTCCTACGGAAACCACACTGTGGTACTGACTTTTGTGGATTCCATTCTGGGTTCACCGTTATCTCGTCTTCTCTTCTTATGGAAATGTTAATTGGCTACCACAGCTGCCGAGGTGCATTTCATTAAAAACTTTTAGAAATGAGGCCGGTCCATTGTGTTGTCGCTCAAAAATTCAAATTTTAGAAGAAAAGCAAAAGTGAAAATAACAAGTGGCCATAAAATGTAATCAAGTTTCTATAATGCCGGCTGTTGCGTAAGTTTTCGTTGAGTGAAACTCTTCATTGTTTTGTGACAGTTTTGAAGAGGTGGCCCTGTTTGAGGGGAACCCATTGGTTATGCAATATTGGTTTGGAAAGTCTGCCTTTAAAGTCTTCCTATTTCTGTTGTTCTCAGATCTTAAGTACCAAAGAATTAGGTTTATTTGACTTTAAGCTGCCTGCTGGTGTAGTTAGTATACTTCACTTTGAATACTAATGAAAAACTTGAAGGCCTCAACACTCAACTCACCCGGTAATGATCTCGAAGCCAATCATATCTGGATCGCACTCCTCCTCCTGAATTCCGGCTGGTGCCTTGTCAGTCTTCGCCTCTGGCTGAGCTTCTACGGGCATGGCCAGGGGCTTGGGTAGTTCCCCGCTGCCAGCTCCAGATCCCACTGTGGCTGCCTCCTGGTCGCCGCTTCCTTCCGTGGTGGTGGTGGTGCTTGTAACGCTGGCGGGTGTGGAGCTACCAGATGCTGCGACCGCCGGCGGCGAAGGCGTCACATTGGTGCGCGGATTGGTCTGCTTGACCGGCTTGACAGGACGTTTTGTTTTGCGTGCGGCGCTGGCGGCGTCACTCGCAATTAGGCAGAGCAGCAGCAGAAAGGTGCAGCGGCGTAGAAACATTTTGTCTGCAATTGGAAAGGCGGTGCGGTGTGAGTACGGGCATTTGGTAATGTGGTGGCTCCTGAGCTATCCCCCGAGGGAGATGGCTAAATGTTAATTAGGCAACTAATTTCACATTACGCGCAATTTATGTAATTCCTGGTGTGCACTTTATTAGTTTGGCGTTAGACTTAGAAGACTAGGCCCTCTCCACGGGGGCTTTGCTCGCCCAGGAATGAAAACAGAACGGAACTCTGTGTCTTCGATGGCATTCCCCTGGCCTTTCTATGTTCGAGCTTTAATTGCCTGGCTTGTTCGCTGTGTGTTCGCAGCGTTTAATTAAAGCTGCAGCTGCGCTTACAGCAATCTCGGCTCTTTCCATTGTGCATACTCAACAGTTGCACCACCGACAATCAGAACAAAAACATTGCTCTGGCCCTCAGTGGGGCGAAGTTTTATGTGTGAAAAACGCCGCCGCCTGGGAAATATTTGGGAGGAGTTCGGGCAGCGAGTGTCTGGATGCTATCGGGCGTAGGTGGCATCATGCTGGGGGAAACCTGGGAGACCCCAGCGATCCCAGACCCCAGAAACCTCAGAAACCCCAGGGGCCTAGATTTCACCCAGTAAGTATAGGTGTGCAATGTTCCAGATACACAGAGCCCAAACTATATAGGTGCTGTCAGTCAGGTGTGATAATTAATATTATAACTAATGAAATAGAGCCCTTACGTCTTACCACGTCATAAACTGAAGCGAAACCTATTTGAAAAGCAAATCTTATAATTACATTGCATATGTAAAACCTCTCTTTTGGCCTAATGATCAGTCAGGTGTGATAATGAGTATGGTTAGAGTTCCCTTTGAACCCAGGCTGTCTAAAGACACAGAACTTAGAAGAAGTCTCTTATTACTAAGAGTTCTTTTTATCCTCTTGGTAAGATAAAGGGATGTTTAATCTGTAAAATGTCATACAAGTTTCAAGCTTACAGCCTACCTTAGCTTAAATCCAGGAATCCAAATTACGACTTTGACAAACCCCCTCCAACTGTATTCTTTTACTTCTCTTTTAATTACAACTTGATACGAGCCTCTTTAAGAAGTCATTGACATGCCGCAGCCAAATAAACAGATTGTCGTCATAGTTCCTTGGCTCTGCCATAACAATTTGCTAATCCAATTATGCAATCTCACTCGAAACGCGCGAAACACTTAACACTTTACAGCTGGCGAATCTCGAATCTAAAGCAGTATTTCTTCTCCAATAAATGGCTGTTTCCCGCATTTCGGCGAGAAAGTGAACCCGTGCCCGTGCTCTATGGCCCATTCATGGAGAGACAAACAAAAAAGACATTTTCAAGTTGTTAAATAGTTTTATGCGTTTCGGCTGTCGATCGGCGAGAAAAGCGTAAAAAGTAAGTTTCACCGGCTGGCAGTAAAAAGGCAAGCAGTCAGAGAAGAGATTCGCACCGCAGAGCCACCTGTGAGATAATCTAAAGTGTGGCTCATTATTTTGCCGAGAGACAACGAAGAAGATTTAGCGGTTAATAAGCGGCTGCGTGAGAAAAGATTTTCGCTTGGATTTTCCTGGGTTTAACTTTTTTTAAGCTCTCTTGCTGGGCACTTGTTTAATGTTTCGTTAGTTACATAATTAATTATGGGCAGGGGTTAGCCGGCAGGTGGGTTGCATGCAAAACCAGGACCACGCCCACACCCCAACGCCAACAGCCGCCTCCTTTGACTGCAACGACGGCTCACACATAAATTATGAAAGCCAAACAAGAGTGGATGGAAAGAACCGTTAATGTTAATAACATGCTTTAAGATACTGCACTAAAAACAATATGTGGCTGGAACCCCTCGATCATCTCGCTGGTGCTCCACCATTCTTCTGCTCGATTGAACGGCGAAGAGAAGGAGAGGCCAGGAGAATAGCATAGAAGAGAAGAGAGCAGCAGAGAAGAGGAGAAACCAGAGGCGAACTCATTACGGAACGCTCACTTCCACTTGCAATTAGTTGTATGAATGAATTTATGCTAATTATAGGCCTCGACAGGCAACGCAACGCGCTTTTAATAAGCCACCGCGGGCTGAAACATCGACTTTGGTTTCAGACCCATTCTTATCTCTTGGCTTTTTGGCCTTTCGGCTTTTCCCTGGCCCTTCCCCAGAGTTTTTCATTCGATTCGGTTCAGTTTCACCTGCTAACCCACAAATGTAATGAGCCATTGACCAAAGTGGACAGAAAAACCAAGAGAAGAATGGCCCGAACCCGAGGAACGGTAAATGTGCGTGTGTGTGGCATGCGGTTAGTTCAAATTTGTGGATTTGGGAAAAAGAAAAACGTTCTGTGGTTCCGTGGCACTTAGAATTTTCATGTGAGCGTAACCGAACCTTCGAAAAAGGCAGCTACATTTTAATTAACCCGCTGCTGTAATTTGTGGCCAGCCATACGTTCTTTTGTTTTTCTTCTTCCCGTTTTCCTTTCCTATTTTCCTACTCCCCGACTTTTGAATCAACGGCTGATGATTTTCCCTCGACGAGGTTAGATATGTCTATCAATTTCACTAATTGAACGTTAACAAGCCGCCGCATCGTTGCTGGAAGCGGTTTTCCATCTATCAATCATGTAAACTACTCAGCGATTCCAATCGAAGAGGAGATACAATTTGGTTAGTTATTAGGTGAGACCCGGCCATTCGCAGCTGCTTCCTAGTTTCAACTTCAATTTCAACTTCAGATTCTGAATCAGAATCAGATTCCTCCTTGTTAATGCTTGGCCCATAAACAAAAGACTGAAGCAACAAACTAACCATATGTGCATGGCGCCTTGATTGCGGCCTGCAGAGTTTCCATTACAATTTGCTAATGGCTTTTCGCCCCGTCTCTCAAACTATCCAGCCAGTGAAAACAAAAGATGAACTCATTTGCCGATGAAACTCGAAACTCTAATTGAAAACGATTAAATTGAATTCGATTTGCTTTACTCGCCGACCGAAAGGTCATCCTCCCATCTTCATATCTTCCCATTTTCCCCACTTTTCAATATATTCAATGAAAATTTCTCTAGTTTCGTATGCGGGTTCCCACAGAAGGCATAATATTTTCGATCGTTCGATTTGAATTTATGCCAACTAAATGCCAAATGCTAATTGACTTTGCAGCCACACAAAAAAACACTTTCTCAGTGGAAACAAGGAAAAAGCTGAAGCCTGCAGCTTCAGATCCAGCCTGAGCATGCATAATAAATGAGGCCTGCCGAGAAATGAGTGCTCTCGACTAGAAGGAAGCAGCATATTAGCACTGGAGTCGCCGAGGCGGCATTATCATAAACTAAATATACCAGCAAATATCAATTTGATTGTGCTGGCCGAGAGCACACAAATTGAGACCGGTGCACAATGGCGATTCAGTCCAAAGAGTTGCAGAATGGAGACTGGGGATTGGGGACCAGAGACCGGAGACCGGCTAAAAGAGGCATTGTGTTGGCCAGCAAGTACCGTTGAGCTTTGCCGCATGTCCGGCTGCTGGCCAGTGATAAATTATCACTGTTGGCCGGGCCATTACTTTTCGGAAATGTACGAGGTGAGCGACTGCAGTGGCTCAGCACCAGCACCTAAACCACCTTTACCGCCCCAACCGCCACGGCCATCTCAGGCGGCAATAAAAATGGGATTCAGAATGCTTTGACGATGAGAATGCGCTTTTGGCCGATGGGCAAGCGGTAACCGGAGATAAACAGCCGGCTTTTGGCAAGGCGTTGGCGTTTATTATGCAAATATTTTAGCCTTAACTTAAGGCCGCAAATTAATATTGCTCAGCTCGGAGCTGCAACTGCAGAACAATGTCGCATTCATTTAACGGCACTTGGCTGATTGTTATTTAAAGTTCAGTTCATAACAATTGTGGTGCAGAGTGGTGCCGAGTGGTGCGCAGTGGTGGTGATGCTTTGTCCGCTTCGCAATTTACTGCTTTTGCATAGTTAACAACTTGATTGGTAGCACTGGGCAAGCTGACATTGAAATGTAGGCCTTGCCATCATCGATGCCCGCCAATGATTGCTGCTGATGTTGTCGTGGTTGTCTTCTTTGTGATCTCTTCTCTGCTCTTTTCTGTTGTATGTTGTCTGTTGTCATGGTGCATAAGTGGCGAGGACTGGTTGCTGCTCGCTGCCTGTTGCATAACTAACAATGTTTAGAGCGCATAAATACATGGCCACGGCCACGGCTACGGCCACGGCAAAGCGAACTCCATCTAACATCTAACATTCAGAGTAACGGAGTCCCGCACAAATGCTCATGACATGCAAAGGAATTTCAGTTATGTTGAGGCCGCCCCATGCGGGGCGTGTTTCTCCCCAGAATCCCGGGATATATCCCCAGCCATTTAGCAATGCAAATTGCGTTGTTTAGTTTATAGATAATGTCATTCAGAATGCTCTCGCACAAATATCGCAGAAATGCTTAAGGAACTCGGCGCGATACAGAACAAGTTCGCTGCCAAAGCCACTCGATAAATGCCTCTGATAAGGCTGAGAAGCGACAGTTGGCATGGCGGAATATGCATCTACGGGATGCATTCTTCTGCCTGGAGAGTACAGATTTTGATTGGTGGATTGCTCTCAGTTTGAGTTACGATCAGTGGTGTGTTCTGGGGTTCATGTGGCCTGACGTTTCCGAACCCTTCACCATTCAGACTGGCCATCTCCCCTCATTAATGTCCCGTATAACATCGTTTCTGTGACAACCATAAACTAGGCAGTAGGAAAGGAAAAAGCAAAACTCTTCAGAAACATCTTCGTTTCAGACAACAAGCAATGCGATATTTCCTTAAATTCAGACCTGAAGCAGATAATTATTTTACCATAATGCTATAAAAAGTCTTAGGAATACTTTGTAAACATGGCACTGGAAAACCATAAAGAAAGGCACTTCGCCAGCTACAACTTAATCTTCATCAGAGCAGGCGGCAGTGGAGACACTTTATGGTCATAAGCCAGGCAATTAACACTTGACATTCTTTTCACTTTTTGTCGGCCGTTGATATGCTTTAGGCCCCATATAGCACTAGCCACTAATCGCCTCATAAAAACACATTTTATTTGAACTACGTGACAGCCAGAACTTTATGGCCAATAGTGCAAGCGAAGAATTCGAGAAGGGACAGAGACAGGGGCAGGAACTGGGGAATAGAGAGTTCTTTGGGACGTGTGTTCGAGTACATTTCGCTTTCTAGCAGCCCACATTCTGGTATTCTAGTCTTCTGCTCTTCTGGTCTTCTGGTCTATTGGCCTTCACCTGACCATTCTTCGGCTCCATTGTCCGGTGGCATCAAATTCTACTTGAGCGCTAATTCGAGTCAATAAAAAAGCGTTTAAAAGCAAACAATAATGAATGCTAGTTGCTCTGTGCGGCCGGCTATTAGAAATTCTAGCAAACTGGCTCAGAGAAACACAAAACACACTCAGCACTCAGCAACCAGAAGTGAAAGAAAGCCGGCCAGACGTAAATTAAATGGAAACTGCCAGGCGAAAAACAACAGAAAAAGCGTGCTTTTTCGAAATCGAATGCTCGGGCGGCACGTGTCGTCTTGCTGGCTTTTCTCTTTCGGGAAATTCTTGGGGCAGAGACTCATAACCGAAAACCGCTGACAGCCAACATAAATCCCGACAAAGCCCGAAAAAGGAAACGGCTGAGAGAGAAGAGGAAAAACAACCCGTAAAAAATCTAAACAAATTGAAAAGCGCACGCCAAAGTCGCATCATCATCATCGAGAGCTAGAAAACTGGACCTGGAAATCTGGAAATCAGGTCGCTTGGCGGTCGGGCCTCCCACAGTCGTATGATTTATGCCCAGTTAACTGTTCACCCACCGACCGACCGACCGACCGACCAAACCAAGAACAACCATCTAACCAACTCATGTGTGCGTTGCAAATTTACGACTCAATCAAATGCAAATTGCAAGAATTTTTGAGCTGCACCTGTTGGGGGTCTTTTCCTGCTTTCCTGCTTTCCTGCTTCCCCTGGTGACCCAGTTTCGGGGGAAAAACGGTTATAAATTGCGTGAAAATGCATTACGCAAGTACAAAAGGCTGTGAATGGTGGCAGCAACATCATCATCCACTGCACTGCCAACAGTCAACGGGCAACAATGTGAATTGGCCGCTCCAGTTTTGCTGGCTAATTTATGCAACATTTGTTCGCTTGGCAGGTGGAAGCTGTCGGCGCACGTAACTGTCAACATGGCGCAAACTAACTGTAAACTGCATATGCCAACAACCACCCACTGCAGAATATGAAGCCACCAAGCCACCAAGCCACTGAGCCAGTGAGCCACCAACCAACCAACCCACCAACCCACCAACCCACCGAACCACCTTTTGCCACTTTTGCCACTGAACCACCGACCGCGCAGCTAATTGTCGACGCTTTTTGCATTTAAGCCAATTTGCGTTCACATTGTTGCCCGTCTGGCTGCTGGAAAACGGCTGCCATCTAAATATCTAAACTCGGAGCTAGAGTTCTGGCCAAGATCTCGACTTTCAGCCATATCTTCGCCTTGTGTTGGTTCGATTAGAATGTGCCATTAACCCATTTGGGAGCGTCGCTTTGGCGATTTGGCGTTTCGGCGCGATAGATGCACACAGAATGTGCAACGAATCTGGCGACAAATTAAATTAACCCATTAAAGATAACCAAATTGATGGCTTAACGACGCACATTTAGTTTTTTCCTAAATATTTTGATAGGAACTCGGCTTGATTTATGCTGTCATTAATTTGGTATTACAACTTATTTTACCCTTATCAGCTAAGTTGAGCCAACATGAAATCGATGTTGGTGGCATTTAAACATGAGTTATCTGCTGAATGGGGTAACTTGGTATTTCGTATCTTAAACGTTGTTAGATACTTGCCATCATAGTGAAAAATCATATTTTTCTTAGCGCTTTTCCATTCCTTTTGTCGCAATGGAAATACCTTTCCATCCAGCCATTTGTCAACAAGCTGTGTATGCACAACAGGTACAGGCGGACCAAAGGATGAATGGCAGGCACTTAAATATGTGGCACTCAAGGGGTTAAAAGCGGCTTACGGCAGCTAAGACAACAAACAAATAAACAAACGAACAAACATCGCGGGGAAACAAACAAGTTTCGTGTAGCTCAAACACACTGGCCTAAGCAAACAGAAGCACAACAATTTTAGTTTGGCGTTGGAATGGGAATGGGAATGGGATTTGTTTGTTTGCCAGATGGATTGACTGATTGATAGACTGACGGACCGAATGACTGGCCATTGGCCAGTGGCTTTCGCAGCCTTATGATTTCGCCTTGCCGACGCTGCGCTAATTTGTTGGCATCCATCGAGTGGAATTGGCCAAGACAGGAAGGCAGCAAAAAGCCAGGCAGCAGAGAGCTCAAGAATCTGGCAGACAAACGCTGCCGCCGCAGACTGTCTGCAGAATTCCTGGTAATTCTCCGTTTGATTTATTAACCATCATTACACACATTCGACGGCCGCTGATCTCTCGCTGCTGCCGGGCAATCAGAATCAATATCTCAGCATCGCAGTTGGACTTCCGGTTCAGGTGTTTGTGCTTAACCCCACCGTCATTTGCCAGAGGAAGAGAAATCAAGTCCTTTTGGAAAGGAAGCGGATCGGACCGGACTATGGACAGTGGACTATTCTATGGACCCATAAATAACCACCAAAAAGAGAGTAAGTAGCCCAATTGGCCACGTTTATATATAGATCGACTCGCATTATATAATTTGCACTGGGCAAGATTTATGGCCCGGGCACAGTTGCCATTTGTGGCGATGCGATTGTGGCCATTTCGCTTCCATTTCGAATGCGTCTTTAAAACGCAATAAATATTAAAGCCGCTGGTCCTCTGCGTGCAGTTTATTCCGTTTATTCAGTTTATTCAGTTTACTCGCGATGCCGTGGAATCGTATCTGCCGATAGGCAGTAGGTAGCAGGCAGCAGGCAGCAGGCAGCAGCGCGAAAATGCTGCCAAGAAAAGCATCTCAAAAGTGGAACAGGCCAACGGCATGCAACTGCAACATCGGCCACCATCAGAAAAGAAGCCACGACAACTGGCAGAGAGGTTCCCTCTCTGTTTCTCTGTTCTTGGCTAACAATATTCATTGCACAATTATGCCTTGCCTGATTCTTATACCCGATCTTAATGCTTTATATAGACAGCTAATTTATGCAGTGTCTGCACGTCAGGTGCCAGATACGTATATATATCCATGAGTGTGGAGCGGCCTCAGCCCCAGCCCCAGCCACAGCCCACGCCAAATTATTTGCTATTTAGCCAAACATCAGCCTAGTTGGTGGAGACCCAGAACTGGGTCAATTGTATGCACCGGAATGCACCTGAATTCGGCTTAAACGAATTTCACTTTGTTGGCCTTGTGTTAGGAGATCATCCAGGTGAAGAGATTCTTCACTATCTGCCCCTTAATTGCACCGAGAGCTTGATTATATTAGCTACGGGGTACTTTATATACTGCTAACGCACTAAATTCCGCTTCCTTTCGAACTCCCTGGACTCGTTTAATTTATTTAAAACCCATTACGGCTTACATTTGAAGATTGGATAAGAGCTCTTCCAGTGAACGGCGGTGGCATAAAACTTTACGACCGAACAAGTGCCGCACTGCAGTCTCCTCGACTGCAGTTTCCACCTTGGGCCCCATTAAACCCAGTGGTTCGGCTCGGGTTTTATGGTTCTGTTTCATCGTTCTCACTTCATTTTGATGAATATTTAAATATTTCCCGTTGTAAAAATAAAAGCCAGCTTCCGCTCGTTTCTAAAAGGTGGTTATGGTTTCCAGAACGCTTCAGTTTTCTGGGAATTTTTCCTATGAATAATTTAGGGGGCTTTGTGTCAACTTGATGGTCGAAAAGAGAGCTAGAATCCTGCGGGCTCTTGAATACAATTCTTATCCTATTGTCAATTCTGGGACTCTGACTCTGACACTCTGAACTTGACATAACCCCTGGCCATATTTGATTTGGCACATACCTTAACTGTTTGCCTTCGTGTCTTCAATCCTCTCGAACTCCAGATCGGGCCTCCTCGTCGCTGTATCTGTAAGGCAAACAAATGCAAATTAGTTAAATATTTGCCTACAACAATGGAACCGGGTTTGAGCCACAAACCCACTTAAAGTACGCCCGATACAGATCTGGGCATCTACAACTACATCTGCATCTGCATCTGCATCTGCGGCAATTGAGTTTAGTGTGACAACGTTTAATGTGAAAACGAGAACTAAATAAATAATTTTTAGCTCTGCGAGCCAAGCCAAACAAACAATGAGATGCAGCGATAATTTCATTAAAAGAGAGAAAACTTAGGAACATCGCTGCAGTGTACTAGCTTCGGCGGATGGATGGTTGTATGGCTGTATGGTTGGATGGTTGGATGTTTGGATGGCGTATCCGTCTTGACGTCGGGCGCTTATCTGGAGTTTGAATCGTCAGCAGGTGACATTGAAGTAATTTACTTGCCGTTGCCAGTTTCCACCGCTACCCACACAATTTATTTGCAACTATTTAAGCGAAGAGGAGAAGGAAGCCAAGAAAGCCAGGCCGTCGTGGCCCGACCAAAAAGAAAAGACCAGAGAAGCAAAGAAGCCAGGCCGGGTAAACCAAAGCAGAGATCACGGCAAGTATTATTAGCCAGAGTCTGCGTCACTCAGAGAACTTCGCTTTTTACGTGGAGTCCGCGGTCCGCAGTCCGCAGTCCGCAGCCCGTGGCCAGAGCTTCTTTTCCAGCTTCTTGCTTTATTATTGGCTGACAGCAGTGTCGTTGTTGTGGCAGCGGTTGTCGTTGCTGCAGAGGCTGCCGCAGTTGCTGCTGCATTTCGCATTCCATGCTAGCGAAAGTTGACCTAGTCGACGATCGCGGTTTTTGTTTTTGTCGTTGGAGGCGGCAGGGGTTGCAGGCCGAGGCAGTGCAAATTTGCTTATAAATAACGAAATTAAATATGGCCAAAAGCCAAATAACTCAACTAGCAACCGAAGCCCAGCACATTTGCAAGGCACCGAAAGAAAATGAACGAGCAATTTGACGATTTAGCCAATCGCTTAGGAATTATATATGTTAGTCTATCAAAGATAGTGAAATCTTGATTTTATTCTGTGTGAAAATATCTCTGGTATATAGATCGGTTTTTTCTTGCTGTGCAGCCATTTAACATGGAAATTCGCCAAAGTTTCTCCCGGCCGATCTTCACTGTATTCTGCCGCCTATCAACTATCAACTACCAACTAGCAACCGAAGACTGAAAACATTTGCACAATTAACTATGCAATGCACGCGCCCGACTTCGATGCTCCCGATGCTTGTTGCTTTTTGGCCACTTTCTTTTGGCAGTTTTAAAATGCAAATTGTCTTGATGATGGAGTGCCGGGCATTCTAATCAACTTGAGATTTCTGCGAGATCCTCAACTCTTACTTTCGATCTGTATCTAGCTGTAGCTGCCCCGTCCTCACCGCTGACGTCAGCAGTTTAAGACAAGAGGCTTCCGCTGCCGGCGAAGAAAGAAAAGAACGACGCCAGGCGGAAGCCTCTGCCACTGCCTCAGACTCGGCTTCAGCCTCTCAGACATTGAACTGTAACACTTTCTATCGAGGTCAGCCGAAAAAAAAACACCAACGAAATAATAATAAAAATGCCATTGAATGGGTGTAGAAGCGGCTAGAAAAACTCGTGGTTGGCTGGCTCATAAAGGCGGACGGCAGGCATGCATGGCCAGCACAATGGAAATGCCCAAAATGCCAGGCACGTTCCAGTGCCGGTAAGAAAGACCCACTAACTCTGGAAATCCAACCTATTAATGTAATTTTTCTCCATTTTTTCTTGACTCTTCTTTATATATACACACTCCCGAACTGAAACGCAGGCAATGTCAAAATGTTAACAGCATTCAATGGCATCCACCGGCTGCTTTTCCGCCTCCCAGGGAAGGGGTCTTATAGGTCTGCGGGGTCTGCGGGGTCTGGAGGTCTGCGGCGCTTTCTTTTGTGCACCCAGGCCAAGATTTTTGTCACGATCCCCAGGCTTTAACGTTTATTGGATTATTGTCATTAAATTTGTTTGGCTTCGCGGAAAGTCTTGAAAGCGAAATCCAGACGGGAGAAACTCTTCGGAGGGCCTAGGAAGGGAGTCCTCTCAATGAGTCAGAGGTTAGATCTAAAGAGGCGCTACTCGTCTTGCAGTGACCTTGGGCAGAGGTCACTTATTGGATATTTAGAAGGAATAACATTTTATTTATGGTAATGGTTAATGGTAATGCCAGAGAGAGAGAGTTCTAAGACGTTATTATATAGCTGAAAGTGCAGTAGGTGGAAAGGTGAGGATCATTTAAGAATTTCATCTTGTCACCATGTTTGCTTGTCTTGAGATGATCAACTTATTGATTAGTTATTTATGATAGCCAACTAATGAGCATTAGCTTAATTAATCGGTTTTCTTTGGCCAGCAGATGTGCCATTCTCATGGCTGCTGATCCTTCGGGGTGCTTTTACTTTTCTTCCCAGGCAATTGGCGCTTTTCCTTTTCGGCATTATCATTGGCGACAGACAGGCAAATATGTATGAGGCACTGCATTCACATATCCATCGGAGAGGCAGCTGGCAAATGTCAAAGTTTAAGCAAATACAAACGCCTTGGCATTGGCATTGGCATTGGCATTGCCATGGCGATTGCCATTTGGTCGTGCCAGATGGGTTCGAGTTGCACCCAAAGCGTTTTCAGACTCCTCTGCTTCGCTTTGGCGCATTTAATCGGCGACAATCACAAGGCTTTCTGAGGGGGAAAGACGTTTTTATTTATGGCCAAGGAAGCCAAACAAGCGAAAGTCAAATTCTTCAACGATTATTTCTTGCTGATTTTCGGCGGCCGCTTCTTCTGGCTGGAATCGTTTGGCCAAAGTTTGGTGGTGTCATTTATCCCCACCTCGAAATCATTTCTTTCGGTCTGGGATTGCCTGCGGCGGCAGGAGGCAACGGCAACTCCTGCCATTGTCTGAAGTTTGACTTTGGGTTCATTGATATTTCGAGTGTGCGAAAAGTGAAACTCTCAATTGTCAATGTCCGATGTCTCTGTCTCTGAACTTGGCTCAGATATCTCAGCCCCTGGCTGCTGCCAATGCTGCATGCGAAAGCTTTTTACTTTTCGATTAAATTGCAATTAAAATATTACCGCAGCACAAACGGCAGCCAAATACTTTCTCACAATCGCAAATTACTTCGAGCAGCACTTCTGAGCGAATTAGCCAAACTGCATGTCTTCAGATCGGACACTTTTCAATGAAAGCGAATCAAGTGCGAAACGAGCTAGTATTTTGATGGACAGGTTGTGCTCTGGCCATGTTATTAGCCTCTGCAGATGTGGTGGCGATCATGGGGCGAGATCGAACAGGGCGTATACTTAATAAGTGTAATTCACGTGATCAAAACGGTTTTGATATAACCACGCAAAGTCGTGGGATAAACTGTACTTAAGTGCGCCAGACTGGCCAGATAATCTGCTTCTCGGGGGAAATCCGATGATGATATGTAGAAAGCTGCTCTCATCAGATGATATCATCGGCCAATTTCCTTCGATAATTTCTCAACCCAATTTCTTGGGTCTTATTTCTTGCATAAATTATCATAAAGCCAATCTAAGATCAGCGACATTAGCCCCGAAAAAGGCGCCAAAAGCGCAGAAGAGCTAAGCCAAATGCAAAGTAATCCAAACAGTTATGTTACTTCCCATCCGCAGACCATTGTTGGATAAATCTCTGCTAATTGCCAGGCCAAACAGCCGACTGACCCAAAAGTTGACAATCGCAAATAAACGAAAATGGAAATTTGGCACGCCGAAAACCAAACAGTAAAACTGTTAACCCAAATGAGGCTTTCTGACGGCAAACTCTTGGGGAGATGGATAGATGGGGAGATTGCTTGGCAATTGACAATTCGAGCGGCGGTCCATCAATCAATTTTCTTGGTTAAACTGAAACGGAAGCGGTTTTCTGTTTTCTGCCTGACAATCAGCACAGTCGCAATCTCGCTACTTAGAATCCATTTCGCGATTTCGCGATTTTGCGATTTCTTCTCGACGACAACTTGATTAGCCATTGATGACCACTGTCAGCCGCAAAAGTAAATTACAAAATGGAGGGAATAGAAAAAGCATAAGGCATATACATAGCCTAGAGGCTGGAGGCTGTAGAGTGGAGATGAAATGCAAAGGCAGAGCGCGGACTTGCGCCAAATGTCAAATTAAATCTATCAATTTCACAGCAGAATGAACGCCCAAATGCGGTGGGTCTGGTGGGTCTGCTCGGTCCCCACATACAATCCGCATGGCCAGACATTTGAAATTGCTTTGCTGACACCGAAGTGTGTGGGGAGTGGCTAGATGCTAGATGGTTTATATGGTAGATGGCTCTAAGGCACAGCTGCTCCGGCTACCTGCTGGTGTGGCATTTGATGTTGTTTGCCCGTAATTGCAATGGGAGAACTTTTTGCAGAGCCTAATCAACGCTAACTGCAACAAACAAGCTGGACAAACAAACGCAAATTGTTTTCCATGGCACGGAAGCCCAGGCGCAGGCGCAGGCCCAGGCCCAGACCCAGACCCAGGCCAAAGCCCAGGCGAATATTAAGTGCACATGACAAATTGCCAAGCCGAAGGCTCTTGAAGATTCTCTTTTTCCTTGGCTTCTTTTTTCTGCCCATTTGGCGGCAATTAAAGCGCACGCTTCGTCTAATCAACGGCGACTGGCAGGCTGCGTAAATGAATAGCTGCCAGGCGAAAGAAGGCTGTGTTGTAACTGTCATGTCATCGTGATGATGCCAACTCCCTAGCTTCCTAGCCACCGACTCCGGAGCCGAAGCCCAGTCATGGCCAGGGCAATTATTGCGGGCAAATTTAAATACCAACTCCCCGAAGAGGAACCCTAGCTGGCTAACCAACACGGTAGCTGACATTCAATGGATCATTTCAGCCGGTGGTCTTTGGGCTTCTTCTTGACTCGACTTTAGCCTGGGCTTTGTCCGCTGCTCTCCAGATCATCATCGCCTTTATCAGGGTCCCAGTCCTGTTCTATTATCTTTCCTCTGTTTAGTTCTGACACGTTGCATTGTGCATTTCACACCACATCTGGGGCTTAATTATTTTAATTGCCCGACTTGTGTTCGCCTTTAATAATGGGACTCTAGATGATCTATAAAAGACGGCACCAGACCAGACAGCGAAGCTTAATGAATCTGTTGCCAATTAATGCAAATGCTATGGATGCCATCACAATTCCATTCTGGGTGCATTATAATTGATTGCATTGGGGAATGTTAAATGCAGGGAAGATTTAGACCTGGTCTTTGTCTTTTTTTTTTTGTTACTTTAAGCCCTGGGAGTATATAAGTGGTTATAAATGGAAAAGCAATAAAAAGGGCTAAATTGCCTCTTTGATTTCTTTTGCCCTGAAAGGCGGTATTCTGCAAAATATTCCTCACTTAAATGAGCTACAGTCTCTCCCTTTTCTTGTAGAGTATTTCTAATATATATATTAGATTTTGATAATATTATTTGATTTTTCGAAATATTTATAATTGCAGCCTAAAACTGAACGACATCTGATGGAATGAACTTTGAATTAGATCTACATGCAATGCAGCTATGAAATTCGAGAAAAGTATTCTTCAAGGCAAAGGTAAGTGTACGGCCATTGAAATCACTTGAATTATTTATTCTGAACTCTATGGGGATCGGGAAATTGTGTAATCAATCGACTCAAGGCTGTTCCCAGAGCAGAGTGTTTAAACAAGAATAAGGATTCTTGCCGATCACTGTTACTGGGTTTCTGACTTGTCCTCGCACATAATATGTGTGGGGTAAAAGTTAATAAACACTCACTTGGCCAGAATAACTTGCAACTGCAACTGTAACTGTGACTCGGAACGTGGGGTCGTGAGTCTTGGAAGTGACCGAAAAGTATCCTTTCCTTTCGGATTGTTTTGTTCTTCTGGTTTTCGGCTGTTGGGCTGTTCGGCTATCGATGCTGAGTCACGCTTCACTTTCGAGATGAGTTTTATTCATGTATGTAAATGATCACTGTTTGCTGATTACACACATTGCACACTGGTGTGGATTGGAGGTTGCACTTGAATTTGGTTGGCGGTTGGCGGTGGTCGGTTGTCGGTTGTTCCTTGTCGAAGCCACGGACAAAACTTCCTGGCAACGCGGTCTGTGATTTATTTTTTGTTTGGCAAGTCGCGAGATCGCTGCGAACTTGACCGTCGAGTGTTGACCGAATAACTAAAGCAAACTCCGGGCTAATCAGTCGTTATATAAGTTGCTCTCGGAGGAGTTTTGAGTTCTTCTGCTGCCTTGCTGTTAGCTGTTGCTGTTAGCTGTTGCTGCGCTGCTCGCGTGCGTTCGCCTTGACAATGGGCAACGTTATAAACTGCTGCCGAGCGTGGAACTCAAAAGAAAGCCAACAAAGCGGCCAGGCAAAGAAAGCCAAAGAAATGAGCCGCAAACACAAAAGACTCAAAGCCAAACTCTCGACTTGAGTTTCAGTTTGTGTTTGTGTTTGCGCTTGTGTTTGAGTGAGTTTCTCTGGGGAAAAGCGAGTGTGTGCAGTGGCTGTCGTTTGCATTTCACTCGGGAAGACGCTCTTCTCGGGCTCTCTTCGCTTCAGGTGGCTCTCTTTTGGGGCACATGTGGCATGTTTCATTGAGTCTCGTCGCGGTCCATTCATAATTTCGATTACCAAATCCCCCGGCAGAACCGAGAGGGTTCAAAACGGGCACACACGACGTTCAATATCATTAATTAAATTGAAATCAGTTCATGAGCGGAGGAGATCGAACTAGAGAACTAGAACCGGGGGAAAATCAATTTTGCCCATGAGATCGCACTTAGGCGAGTTATTGGTACATGAAAATTATGATATTACTTCTTGGCCGGCTCGGATTCTCATTTTTCTCTCGTCTTGTGGTCAGCAGGCAGTGTCGTGCGTTTTATGCTCCATAAAAGCTGTCCAGCACTGCAGTTTAAATGAATTAGGAGCCCAAAACGAAGTCAACTTGATTAGAAAGGCGCCGCAGAACGGAGGAGCCGAGTAGCAGAGTAGCAGAGTAGCCGAGGAAGAAATCAAAACAACCATCAATTGATCACACAGCCCCTTTCGAGATGGCAAAGAAAGTTACAGATTGGTCGGACAGCGTGTATAAACAAATAGTTTGATAACATTTCTATTGAGTCATTAACATGTTAAGCTCATAAATTGAACGATTCGTCGATCATCCAATGTAAACACAAGCGATCACAGAACAATCGACACAAAAGGCCACCGAAAAATGAATCAATTTCGGATCGGAGTTTGGATTGTTTCTGATCGGATGACGGCAGACCTTTCGCTTTCAACGAAGCTGTAGCTGAAAAGCGAAGAGCCCGGCACGATCTTCTGCATACTGATGAGGCCATGAGAAGCTCATCACGACCTGGAGAAAGCCAAATCGAAGAAGTCCACAGCCGACGACAAAGCGACAATTGCTAAATGAAATGTCGCGCAAGGAAGCGCAAATTGTAACTCTTGCAAAGCGGCAATCAAATGTCGCCGGAAATGTTTACACAAAGCACTCGGACTCGAATATGCCCGAAAATGTTTCGAAGAGCTCGAAGAGGGGCTTTGAGGGGTTAGAAAGGCAATTTGCATTTCACCGTGTGACAATGACAGCTGCTTAATGATGATTCACGTTGATTTGCCAAGATTGGGAAGATTTGGTGATCTGTTTCTGTTTTTTTATTATTTTAGTTTGGTGTGACTGCCAACAGGTGCATTTATTTTTGTTTGCGATAATCAAGGCTTCTTTTCTTCGTGGCTGCTTTCGTTTTTCGGGCGAAAATGAAAACTGCAATTTCCGAAAATAACACGGAAAGCAGCTGCAGATGCTCCATCTATCCCATCAAGTTCGTTGCTTAAGTCTTTCGTTATTATTTATTCCGCAGAGCCCGGATTTTAATTACAGCTCATCTTCGAGATTTTCTCGCTTATTTCGGGCTTTGATGCTGGCAGAATCGTTTGCTCACTGCCCGCAGCCATGGGATTTTTATGCTTATTGGGAAGATTGCCTCCCAGTCTTCTCTGATTTTCTGCAGGGTTTTCTTTTCTATTGGAAGGTTGTGCAGAATCTAGCAGCATCCGTTAGCTTTTTCGTTGCGCTGCCTGCTGATTAAGTTGCTGCTGTATCTCAGCCCAGAAAATGTGCCGAAAACAAACAAAGCCTGGCCGCAGATTTGGGAAAACAGGCAGACCGAAACTGAAATGCACTTATATCTAGGCGGTATGGGGCATTCTCTATGGGGCATGTTATTGTCAGATTTAACTTGTTCTTATGTTTCTAACTATTTGTAATAGATCGATGATGTAAAAAAGAAAAGAATATTTTCGTATCTCATTAATCAGAATAATCAGAAGCAAGAGGGACATCTAGTCCTTGGGTTATTTTTAGTAACTTCTTAAGGTTGACCCAGCTCTTCATTAGTCTGGTATACCCAACGGGCACATTTCAGGCCCAAAACAGAACAAGAGCTAACGTTATCCCATTGTAACTGAACGGTTGTTAACAAGGGGCTGCAGCGTCGGAAAGGCACTGGAACCCAGGGAAACGACCCAAGTACAAGTACGGAGCCAAATTGGGCGTAATATTATGCCCAGACTGGGTGAAATATGAGCTGAGAAAATTTTATTTCAGCTTTGTTTATCCCCGTGTTGCTGGCACTGCGGACATTGCGTCCCAGGCCGAAAATGTATGAGAAACTTGGCCAGGAACTGGGTCTGCTCCTTGGCTCTGAGCCAGCGATTTGTTAGCAATCCTATTAAAGCCTTTATTGACTTATTTAATGCGATCATGTTGACCAGCATCGTAAAGCATAAATCGCCGCCCCAGGTGTAGTTCATCATAGATAAACAACCTAAAAAGAGAGAGATAGGCTCGTAAAATATGGAGCAAATAGGTGCAATATTCGTCCATTCTTCTGCTAATCAGGTCAGCAGTCAGAATTTATATATATTTAGGGGCGTGGCGTGATCTCGAACAAGTAAACACAAAGCAATTCAATTTACCACTGCTCGGGGTTACGTACCGATCCTTACCTGGTGGGTGGAGAACGTCGGGAGTAAGGTTCCCATTTCCCCAGAAATTTAGCTACCTGTCCGAAACACAGAGGTCGTAAACATCTGCGGCTCACTTTAAATGGGTTTCTCGGGGCATTTGGCCAAATTTTTTGGCACGCCACAGCGAGGCACAGCAAAAAGCAAAGAGATCTATCTAAAGTGTTTATTTCCTGCAATTTTTGAAAATGTTTTCTTGACTTTTTGTGTGACATAGCCAAAACACGTTTCTAATTCTTTGCTGTTTTTTGCTAGCCAACGCTGCTAGGAAAACAAAAACGCAAGAATTCTTTTTCGGCGGCTAGCTTCAAAGGTGTTTTGTGCTAAGTTAGGCAAACATCATGCGGACTGTTACCATTTTGTCTTGATTAACAATTGTCTGCCGGGCCAAATATTTAAAGCATGAAATCGTTTTGCCATACGCGTACATCGCACTGTTTTCTTTACTCCAGATGGAAACAAATACGAGATGACCACAATGAGAACTCTTAGCGCAAACACATGGGCTCGAACAAAGGGCCTCGATTGAGATCGAGATCTCTTAGCTCTTAGCTCTTAGCCAAAAACATAAATTGGTTCCAGTGTGAGAATTTATTGATTAATTTTGGTCGAACGCCTTTTGCAAAACAAGTTCAACGCCCCTTTGGCGAGGCCTAAAATGAAAAGCTAATCGAATCCGGATCCAAAACCCCCAGCCGAAAACCTTATTGGCCAGATAAAAAACGCAGCGTTAATTAAAGTCGATTACCGTAATTTGTTTGTGTCCGGCGGGCCTCTGAAAAAGCGGGCCCTTTATGGAAAACCTTCCCTGCACTTCGGAGCTGCAAATTCGCCGAATGTCAAGACACAAACTGAATGTATCTGCTCGAACATCTGTATTCGAGGAATGCTGATGGTGCTGTTGCCTTTGGGCTTCCTGGCCAAAAGCGCGTGTGACCCCAAAAAGAGAAATTTCATCCAGATAAATGATGCAATTCTGTTCTTTGGTTTTGGTTTCGGGTTGGGTTTCGGTTTAGGCTGTGCTGGGCTGGGCCCTTTCCTAATTGACTAATTAAGATGAGGTTTAATAAAGTATTTGGGCCTAGGGAAGTGAATGATTTATGTCGAGGAATTTTCTCGTTTCGGTGTTCGTTTTATCTGACTTACATTGGGTAGGCTTTCTTTCGAAGAAAGCAATTCTGCGACAACCGCGAGACCTGAAAGAAGACAGAATTCTAAGCTCGGTGAAAGTTGTTTTTGTCAATGGAACTGCCAAGAACTTCTTTTCGCTGTTTAGTGTGCTCAATAGTGCGACAAATGGCCAACTGTCCCAGCATCATCTCCATCTTCCAGCTGTGGCATCTTCATCATCACAATCGTCGCAATCGCAACGTCATCAGCTCACGTTCTAAGTACAGATTGGCATGTGGCGTTGCTCGGCTTAGCACAGAAATCATAATGGTAATGGCAATCATAATAGGAACAATAAAAAGAAAATCCAAGAATGGCCATCAGAAAGTAAAAGACTTTAAGTGCCATCGTTTGGATTTGCTTGTAATGACATTGACAGACAGACTTGCACTTGCCCCCCCTTTAATCTGGTTTGGCTGTTTCCATTTCTGTCTGAATATCTTCATAATTCCCAAGAATAAAACGAATTCATCCGCATTCGAGGTATTCTGCTCTTTCCTTTTTTGCAAATAAAAATAATTAAATAACTATAAATAGCTTACGGGCGGAAATTCTCTTCTCAGCATAGCAAACATACTTTCTTAATAAACTTTGTTGGTATGGTGTTTAAGTTTGATGTCTGTTTTATCTTTGAGATTACTGCAATTTGGAAATCATTTGAAAGTGCTTGCGTTTCCTTTGCCATTTATGATAAAAATATTTATGAAAATAGATTTAAGCTAAACCGCCTTGTCTTTCCTACAAATTTCTGTCAAAAATAGTTGTCAAAAGGTGTAGACTTGATATATATCATTATTTTGTCCATAACTAAGCCAATAGTGGTCCAAATTTGAAATATCATATCTCGTACGGCTCGTAATTTGATTCCTATGATACCCAATTGATTTGCATTAAAATCTGAGAAACTTGAATTTTTGACAATTTTCGAAAATTTTGATGATGGTACCCCTCATCAAAAATGCGAAATTTAGCCGAAAAATGATTTTCCCAAAATCGAAAATCGAGTGATAGGGGAGGTAAGTGGTGGTCGTTAGCGGCACAAAACAGTTGTTCTTATGGTTGTGCGTCTTGATTTACCCATCCTACAGCTA